AACTTTATCGAGGATCAAATGCGAGCCAAGTATTTGTTGAAAATCTGATGGAACAAGTCGAAAAAATCGACGACATTTTTAATAACCCTTAACTGCTCAATTTAACACCCGAAGAAGAACGGGAATACGTTCTTATGTAAGATTTTTGGTAAGATATAAAAAAGTATATATTAAGAAAATGTCAAAACGATACACTAAAAAATTAGACCCATAGCCGCAGCAATTAAAGGCGAACGGCGCGAAGTCACCATCACACACAATTCACACACAATCCAAGCACAATCGCAGCACACCACACGCTAAAAGTAAAATTCCCTGCAATGGGCGAAAACGACGTAATTGTTCCGGGCACAGCGAAATTGGCTTTCAAATTGGACCTAGTCAGAGCATCGGGCGACAATCGCACCGTGTTTAATAACGTGGCAAGAAACATGATCTCAGAAATAAACGTCAGATTACAAGGCAACAAAATTGCGAGTTACAGAGACGCAGACAAGTTCCATAACTTTAAAGACAACTGGCTACCTTTGTCACAAACAAAAACACGGCTTACTTTGGCCTTGAAAGAGAGAACGTGGCAAAGTTGCGGGCGACAAAAACGAAGCTGCAAACAACGGCAAAGACAAGGCGATCGCAGACGCTTTTAAAAATAGATAAGCGATTCCGTTGGACAGGCCTTTATTGACAGATCACGACCCTTTTTATCCGTCGAGTTTTAAAGAACCTCTGACGTATCAACTGACTTTTAATTCGCACGACAAAGTGGTCAGTTCGACAGATTTGAAGGCAGAGTACGGCATTTGGGACCTGACTCTAGAATACGAAGTTGTAACCTACCGAAACCTGGCACAAAGGCTCCGTGTACTATTTTTCGACCGAATTCATTCTTGGAAGAAGCGGGTGGTAAACAAGTCAGACACGTTATGGAACATCAGCATCGATCAAACGATTAAAAGTTTGAAAGGTGTCTTAATTCTGTTCAAAGATCCAAATGTAAAGAACCCCCAAAGATTTTAAAATCCACATATAACTAAAACTGTAGTCACAGTAGAGGGTAAACCAAATCAGCTGTATTCACAAGGGCTATTTGAATATCAACATTGGACAGAAGTTTACTTTGATGACTCGGATACTGAATCGGTAGTCAAGGACCTAAACTTGACGGGTGTTGGCATGGCTGAGTATCTAAAGGACAAGTACAGGCTGTGGTTAGACTTTAGGAGTTCGGATGACAATGCAGAACACAGATTGGGTTGGCCCTTGGGAGGTGGAGGTGACATATCAATACAGATGGAAAGGGGGGCAGAGACCACAAGCTTGTTGATAATGTACGTGCTTTTGGTAATGGACGTGCAATTGACAGTAGAGGGCGGGAATTTTAAAAGTTTGGTTTATTAAAAAAGTATAGACCGGTTTAAAATAAATGAGCGCAAACATGTACAAGAAGCCACACTGCGCCTTAATCGTGGGCAAAACGGGTAGTGGTAAAACACAATAGATTTTGGATCTTTTGGAGACCGTGTATCGGTTCGCGTTTGAAGCCATTGTAATCATTTGACAGACAATGTTTAAGAATAAGACCTATTTGAATCGTCTATGGAGATACACGGACGAAAATTTACATCTATGTGATTTAGATCGGGAGAATGCCAAATTAAACAAGGCAATTGACCTGTATCAAAAGGTGTTCGATGGCACACACACTTTATTTATCGTAGATGATTGTGCAGCCGATCAGTTCATTAAATGTCTTAAAAATTTAAAGAAAGCAGTACATGTGCCTTGAGCAAAATGGCTTTCAGTGGTAGGCATTTTAACCATTCATGCTGGTTATTGTAGCAAAAGTATAGCTCTGTGTTGAAGGACTACCGTGAGAACACGGCCTGGATTGCTATGCTTTATTGCAAGGATAAGAATTCATTTGACCAATGTTTGGATGAAAACGACGTTGCACCCGACGAAGAGCGTGATCAATTAAAACGACATTTATGCGACGTTAAATTTAGCAAGTTGGTTTTAAATAATATTTTTAATTTAATTACAGAAAGTCGGACGAACTAGTTGAAACAAACTGATGAGCAAGCTTGAACTAGTTAAAGATTAGTTTAAATTGGCTGTAATTGGGCTATGGTAGTCTGGTTACAGCTTTTTGAAGTTTTGTTGTAAGTAAAGAGCGACAAATACAATTCATTCAGGTAGTTATTGAGCTAGTTATCGCAGTTAACTTAACGCATTACACCACGAATACCTACGAGTCAAGCAAACGTTCAACAACTTTAAAACGTATATATTAAAATGGACGATATCAAAACTACCATCGCGGATTCAAAAGTTAAAAGCGAATCTGCACACACCAAAGAACCTAAAGCAAACGTCCAAGACAGGCTATGTTCGGTTGTAGCATCGGGTGAATCTCAAAAAATACCTGGATAAAGAATATTCCGTCAAAGACATCAAATCACTTACTTCCGCAGAACAGGAAAACTTTTAATTTGTATGAATTTAGATTCGGCAAAGAAATGGTGAAAACTGTGGGCAATGCGATTTTAAGCTTGTACACGCGTCTTTTGGGTATTGCTACACCGATGGAATTTCTAGGCTTCAACGTAGACTTGAAATCGGAGGAAGACCTAACTAAAGATCTAAACGACGACCCTATCATAGGTCAAACAATGGGCCATTTTTTAAGCGAACTCTGTTACAAGTACGGTATTTACCTATCGCCGTTGGTAGCAACCTTGATAACTACAAAACATTTAGACATCAACAAGAATCAGTGTATTATAAAAGAACATGTCAACAGAACAACGGCCAACACAAGCACCGACTCCAGCCAACAATCCGGTTAAAACGCAGGTACAAACAGTGACCAAAGTTAAAAACCCCAAAAGAAAAAGGTAAAAAATTAGCCGAGCACAATAAGAAAATGAAACAGCAGCTCGCCAAAGTGAAAGCAAGTGAAACGAGTGAAAGTAAAATTTACTCGACGTGCATCGATAACCAATATTTAGTTTTGGGCGGCCTGGTCATTGGAGGAATGTTACTGGCGTTTTACTTGAAAAAGAAGCCTAACGAGTCAACACCGGCAAAAACTACTGAACCAATAGCAACGTCAAAAGCATCTGCACAAGAAGTTGTGGACCAAGAAATTTTAGTCATGGAATAATTTTTAAAAGGAGGTAATTTAAAAAACGGTAAGTTTGAAACTGCTATGTAATAAGAATGAGTGACGCAAACATCAACATAAACGGGATCGCCAACACGGTGTACCACGGTGCCGTAGTTTCAGCAATTTCCATGTGCTATGCCATGCTCGGTAAAAGGTTATTGAAAATTAAACCGCCAGATTTGGATCGGTTGTCCATTGAAGACATAGCAAAAATGACCACGCTCGCTATTGGCGCATTAACTACCCAGGGTTGGCTAATGGCGCAAAGTGTATTGCCCGCAAGTTTGCCTAGCGGTTTATTATAAAAATGGCAGAAGGCGGATTTGACCCGGAAGAAATACTTCTCGACAAAATAACCGAAGATAAAGCAGAGGAAGACCACGATAACACCTTTGCACAAGCAAACACATTTGACACAACACTAGACGAAACATCATTCGTAGAAAGTCAAGCACTAGACACGACAAAGTTGCAGACAGATTAACCAAGGGTAAAATGGATGATTTTTACGACGCGATTCAAAAACAACGGGGTATGAAAAGCTAGTTAAGGACCTCTTTTATCTCTCTTATACATATATCTTTTATCTCTCTTATGTAGCTTTTATCTCGATATTAAAGATGGCCTATGTGTCAAGTTTGAAGATGAAGAAGTTCCTTTGACCCACAAAAACGACAGCAGTAAGTTTCTTAGTCTAGGCTACATCCAAAGAAAAACAAACGTATATTTCATAAGACATGTCGGGCTTCCAAGACTACGTTAGCGGTAAAACCAAAGAAGAAATACAAAGCTTAAACTAGAAATGTGTTTGTGGACAAACACAGCTGCTTCGGCCCCTGGTTGTATTGATCTAAAACCTGAAAACAAGTGAAGAAGTTCTCGAAGGACGCACAAGAGTGTATTGAGAAGTTCACATAAACTATACAGTACAAACATTGGTCGGTAGAATCTTTAAAATCCTCGGGTAAATGTAACAGGACTATGATATAATGGTACAACCATCAGATGAAATTAAATTCCCACCTTGAATTCTTCCCTTTCTAGCCATCGGCAAAGTTCCAACCGAATGGGACATGTCCGTTGCCAGATACAGTACTTTAAAGAGTGCCCCTTTAATGTCATTTGACTTGTAGTCTGATGACATTTTGGTCACATCTGGTCAATCTGGGTCTGAAACCCTTCCCTCTCAAACTATACACAACGTTTCAAATCAATTGCAAGATATAGTGCTTAAAACAGTGCCCTTGTAAGGTCACGGATTTTATCACATGATCACGTCATTATCACATGTCAATTTAGGTCTGAAACCTTTCCTCTTCAAGCGACACACAAAGAATCGGACATGTAATTCGCGAGATATGGTGCTTTAAAGAGTGCTCAATGTACATTTTTACGTGTGATTGCATATGGAGTCGCTAGGGCTCGTTGGGTACACCCATTCTCACGGTCATTGTACTTGTGAAAGATGCAGACGGAGCTCTTCTATGTATTAACACAGCCGCGAATCGAGGTCGGATTGTAAATCGAGGACATCCTCAGTTCGTAATAAGGTGAAATTTGAGGCTGCTGTCAGCATTTATGAGGGTCAGCGAAATTTCAAGGCACTTGGAAGCCGTCCTCGGTGTATGCATTTAACACTCCGGGTGTTTAAAAACACCCGCTCAAAATGGACAGTTTTGGCGCACCCTGGATGGAATAGCGCCCCCTCTAGCTCTCGTGCTACGCTGTCCAATCCGGATTGGTGAGCACAATAAACGTCACCCACTGCAAGGGACGCATAACCCCCCAAAACATAAAAGCCTCCAAACTGTCCAAAAGCATCTTATTGTCACTTTGCCATCACGCCTGTGGACTTCTGTAGCCGTTCTGAGATGTAGGTGTCTTCTAGTGGAAAATATGGTGAGTAAAAACGATTTAATTTGGAGTAGAATGTTGAGCATGACCAGACCCTATCTTGGTACGGTTTACTACATCTGTAATGCAGGCGCACATTGTCAAACTGTATTAGGTTTACCTTTGACCTTGGGTGCATGATTTATTCATCTCTAGGCGTGGCCTATCGAGGCACCAGTTCTCGGACTGCGCGTCCAAAGTGTATACTTACCTAGGTACCTAGGTCACGGTGACGTAAGTGTATCATGCTGTCTGTACAATGTACATGTACATGTATAATGTATACACGTGTGTGGGTTTAGACACACGGCTTTAACCACAACTCCTGAGATGTGAATCATGCTTGACATTTTGTGTTCTTATTGTTGGGTATTGCAGCAGAAAGCCTCGACGATGTAAGCCTAAATTAACATTGTTAAATGACTGATTTGAAGCTGCAGTTCTGCTGCTGGTGATAGCCTGTAATCTCGGCAGAGTCGTGAGTTAATCTTTCCAGTACTAAAGTTTATAAGTGTGATTATTTTGCCGTAATTTCTGCCAAAGTGTAGGCGGTTTTGTAACGATGTGCTTTGTAATGCTGGGTCAATTTACGTTGCATATTGTATACATGACTTAGTATAACACGGATATTTCAGAATGTTATGTTACAAACCTTGTTTTGATAAATTATATTGATTGATTTATATCATAGATTAAACGGAGTCAACATCCCACGGTGACAGGCGAATTTGTGTCGCAAGTCTAACTGTTATTTTGGGGGCGTCAGTGACCACAGAGCTAGGCTTATCGGCAGTCGCGCAGAAACTGCAACAACATCATTACATACATGGGCCCCAGTGCTGGCTAGTGCCATGCTACTAGTTAGAGCGTGGTTAAAGTGTGGCTGCTATCACCCCCCCCCCATTTTGTCGATAGGCTAATGTAGATCTTATACCGCTGTTAGAGTGAATGTGCCAGTGGAACAGGTATACGTACGCAGTCCGAAAAGCTCAATCACATAATCCAGTTGAACAGGTTCCTGCAGTACATTTTTCCAGCCACAAGTGAAGACTTTTCTGTTGTGCGTATGTGGTGATTCTAGGCCTAATTGTGTTTAAAAGTTTTGTTGGGGGTGGGGGTTTTGGGTGGATGTGGCTCTTTGGAGCCTGGATACCTGTTTCCCCCCACCCATCCCCCACCATCACCACCACCACCAGTCCATACCAAATTAAAAGAAGGCAGGCGGTTTAATGAAAATAATGTTCGATTTCTTTTCTTGCCAGCTGGCCTGTTCACCGTAAGTGGAGACGTTTGGACAGTATGGCTGATTCGTCCACCGGTTCCCGCAGTAGGCCTACTACATCTGTTGCTCCAAGTGATGACACGTCTGACGTCCAGGAGAACTGTGGTGTGACCGTAATGCAAACCAGTAATGAGGTTGGCTGCAGGAAATGGGACAAGAAACACTTCTGCTTTTACTGCGATGTACCCCAGGCCAAGCTCCCCTGTCATCTCCAGTCATGTCACAAGGAAGAAAGAGAAGTCATCGAGATCGCCGGTGAGCCCAACGCTAGTGTGCGTAAGAAACTTCTTTTGAAAATTCGCAATCACAGGTACAATTGTCAGGTTCTTCGTGAAGGTCGTGGTGTGCTCGTTGTTTGGGAGAGGCCAAATCGCAAAGTATCTCCCCATGCATATGGACCATGCGTATATTGTTACGGCTATTATGTGCGTACCGATTTGTGGCGACAACCGTGCCCTTTGAAGCCAGCACCCACTCCACAGACTAACAGCATCGGTAAGAGGGCTCGTGTGGGTGGACGGGTCGCTCACGAGAGTGATTTGTTGAAACCTCCTCCTGTTGGCGTGTCGTTCCAGTTACACCAGGTTCTTCGTCCAATGAAGAGAGATGATGTGGCTTTGGTAGACAAGAATGGCACGTTGATTGTTGAATTAGCCAAGCGTGAATACATGAAACTAGGGCATGATGTAGATCAGCATGGCTACATCCCCGAAAAGTGAGAGTTGATGGTGTGGCAGGAGGCTGCATACAAGACAGCTCTGCCGTGCAGAGAAATGAACTCGCAGGACCAACCGAGGAACCAAGAAAGAATTCTCCAAGGCAGAGGCAAACCACCCATCCGCTTCCACTGAAAAACATTCTAAAAGGGAAGCACTGTAAATAACCTTGTAAAGTTGTGAATTAATTTTCTTTTCTTTTTCTCGCTAAAAAGGACCCTATGCAACATCGAGGCCTAATGAAGGGATATGGGAAAAGGCAAAGACAAACAGAACATAGAAAAGAGCAAGATGGTGAAGGAAAAGAAACCACCTTCATATGCATGCAAGAAGTAGCAACAACAGCAGAACCTGAACCACCACAGGGGCGAAACAGGAACAAAAACTCTTTGTGTAGTGCCGGGCGTGCAGAATGAACACCATCCATGAGAGGGTGGATGTGATTACCTTGGAGACGGAGGAAGAACAGGATGCAAGGGAACAAGTGGTGCAGAAAGCCACAGGAGAGGTGACAGTTCCACTCCCAAGAAGCAGCACTCCCGGGAGATATCTTGCTAAAAGGAGGACGCCAAAACAGAGGGAGAAATGGCCGTCCAGGAACCACGCCCAGACAGCCAAAAAGCTTCCAGAACCCCCACTGGCCGGACACTAGACTCCATGCCAATGGAATGCACCTGGCGTCACCCCGAAACGGGAGAAGCGTGTGCGTTACTGGCTGCCTCCTTCAGTCTCCTAACAAAAGAGGTCGAAGAAAGCACGGGAAAAAAAGCGCTTACAACCATGGAGCAACTGCTGGCTCTCTCCAGAAACAAGCAAGAGGCACCAACTCGGGGATCATGCTGAGGTTAAGCCCGACCGGACAACCCTGAAGGGAATATTTTGCCACAGAGCGACATAATTCATAGAGACAATCACAACCACAACATATGACACGGGTCTGTTGGTGTGCGTGTGAAGAAGCACAGAGGACCTACGAAGTCAACGTTTAGAACTGTTATTTAGATCTCGCTTCTCCCATGTTCATAAATTAGTTACGAATACGAAGTTGTAGGCCTACACCAGATATTTCCACAAGTTGTGATTTTCGTGAAGTTCTTATAAAGTTTGTCCCGTTTTTCACGTTTTACAAGTTTGATAAAGATTAAATTCATTCTTAAGGTTCGCAGGTTTAGGCCTATACAGTTTTTGCCAAATTTTAATAAAGTTTAATAAGTTTACACGTAGGCACCAGTTCAAGCCTATGTATACCAAGTTAAGCTATTCGAACAATGAGGATGTCGGCCTTTAATTATCAGGCGACACAGGAGAGGTCATCTAAATAAGTGTTAGCGCGTAGTTTGAATAAAGTAGGTGGAATCGTGGTATTAACGGCAGACACGTAAGCGACAACCGGCTGCAAATGTGGTTTGTCGCGATTTCATTCCGGAACAATGACTCCGAAGGTTGCGATAGAACTGCAAGTAAACTGGAGTACTTGTTGAGGAACGCTATGACTGCTACACCCATCTCTCTCTCTCTCTCTCTCTCTCTCTCTCTCTCTCTCTCTCTCTCTCAGTCATACATCTTAGTTCATTCTCAGAAATAATGACAAAGAATGAGTAACATCCCAGAACAATGATGCTGCCTTGTAGATTAGAATAGGGTTAGCAGTGATGAAGGCTAGGCCTGCTGGTTTTGATTCCATTTCATTTTTTATAATTGTCAAACAGATCCTCGCCATTTGATAGGAGGAAACGCATCACGTTACATTCATTATTCCTGCCGTGCATGATGCGGCAATATACAACGGTTAGGATCATCCTTGTTTCCACGATGTATAAATGGCCTCGTTCCTCAAAAGGCAACGCGAGCGCACGCAGCGGTGATTGGAACCTAAGAAGATTGTATTAATGCTGCTTGGCAATCTACTTGCAGCCATACACGTACATGACACGACGTATAGTACATGTAGGCCTACACTATACGGAATAAAAATGTACACTCAGTCTCCACCCGTGATACTGCAACGGCCAAGTAGGGATCAACAATCTGGCTTCTAAAAGGAAACCATCCCAACCAAAGCTGGGTGTAACAAAGCTGAAACCAATCACTGCCTGACAGCAATTTGTGTGACTGTTTTGGACAGCGCAGGCTTTGCTAGTCGGGACATAATGACTGTCATTGGGCACCACAGCAAGCAGTTAATCAATACAGTAAACGATAAAAAGAAAAAGATGAGTGTAGCGTTGGCATCCCAACTGGCATCAAACCAGCAGGGCATGCGCTACTCGGATCTGGGTGATGGAAACAGCAGTCCACCCACCCATCGTCATCAACAAAACAGACCCACAGTATTGCAGATTATTAATCTGCAAACTGACCTCACCCCCAAGAAGAGGAAATCCTTCAGGAACTTTCAGCTACTTGTGTGACTAATGCCATTAACATCACAAATAATGTGACATCCACCAAAATCCAAAACTTTCATCTTCACGGCTGAGTGGTAAACTTCTACAACGCCAAACTGAGGACACTCAAGACACTAATTTTCACAATGGGCACCAATTCAGTATAGTCAAAGCCCGTGTGAAGACTCGGTAATTTGTTTCAATTTGTGTTTTGTTATAATTTATTAATAATAATTTGGTGTGGTGAACATTTATTTTCTTCAAAATTGAGGGCAAATAAAATTTGGTCCGAAACGTTATTGGTATTTGAAATTGTGACAGTGCAATGGTAAGAATATTTTCATGAGTTGAGAGATGGAATGCATGTTGAAGGGAACATTCCATCTCGTAACCCATGAAAATGTTCCTACCACTGCACTTACAAGCATTCATTATTTGTATGACATGTAAAACGGAAACTAGGATAGACAGGGCCGTAATGTTTGTTGTAGTTTCCAATTCAGCATGGTGAAGTGTTCAATGTGTGTTTAAGTCAAATCTACAAAGCATCAGAGGAGTGCTGCTACAATACGCCTTCATCTGAAAATGGCCGTTGACAGCTACTTCTCCCCACCGGATTCAACAAAGGTCACAAAGTTTTCTGATACGCAATACAGTAATGGCAGAATTCTCGGTATTGTCCTTGTCGACGTTTTCTCAACGTTGTGTTTTCAAACGTAAGAGTTTGAGGGGCATTGGTAAGGAATTACAGCGATGGACATGCTTTATTTGTGAGTTCAGCTACTTAAAAAGATAAGATGATTTAGGGTTAATTAGCTTGTCAATTGCTCTCAACTGCCTCACTTTCCTTGGAGCAGAATTACTTTGGCCACGTACATGATGCACGACATGTGGTGCGTAATGTGAATGATACAGCATAAACAGATTTTCCACTCACTTCACTTCGTCTAAAAGTGCACATATCAAGTCCTCCGATACACTTTGGTTGTGTCTTTGGCTAGCATATAGAAGGAAATAGCTTAATAACATTATCTCATGAAATTTAACATTTGGTTGAAAAACGTCAACACATCCATGGCATCTTAGGACCTATCGGCTTGATCTGCTAGCAGCTGGAGGCCGAAAGGAAATGGACAGGCAAGAGAACACTCTATCAAAACCACACCTTGCAGAACACAAAACGACAAGGTTAATTTAAAAAACAGATAGAGAAAATTAAAGATTAAGTCAACAAGTCAACCCATGTAAAATTTCACCAGATGGAAAGATCTATAGAGCGATCTCTTCCTAAAACTGAGAAAAAAATGTGTAAACACATAATGAAATGTGTGTCCGTTTAAACATTTTCTGGAGTACAGTCTGGAATTGAAGGTATCATCTTCATTTTAACTTTTTATCTGAATGGAGCTGACGTGTGCACATGAATTTTATCATATTATTAAAATTAAGAGGCATCTTTGTTTTGTAATTGATGTTCGGAATGCTTTAGTAAGTTAATTGCTTGCACTTGGTTCTTATGTTTTACTCTACTTTCAACTGAAATGCAACTTTTATAGTACACGTATGAGGTATTTATGAACCAAGTTCAATGTTTTTTTTTAATTTCAAGATACAGTGGGAAACGTAGATATTCCGGCACAACCACAGCTAATGGAGCTACAAGGTACCTAACAGCAAAATTGATTTTCATCAAGTAAACTCCATTAACTAGGATAAAGGCAATAAGAGGAAAATAAGCAGAGTAGAATTTACTGAATGCTGGTAAGAGTGTTTGGATACTTTTATGAAGAAACTGGCCCAATTTTTTTATAAAAAAATATGTTCGTGCTTGTTATTTAGATAAAAAAAAATTGATGTCAAGTGAGGTTCTCTTTATTTTTTAACTACTAAAATTCAATTTGAAGCACAGTATTTTAGTGGAATAACATTTAGGTATTGTTCTTGCATTCAAGCTTTCCCATTGAGTAATCCTCTTGAGATTACGGTGGAAAGAGCCGCAAAAGCAGCCCGTGTTTCGATGGACTCGAAATGTACATTTACGACCACTACTTTCAAGTTTATGATCAAAGATGTGGAGGTTTGCTGTTTGTCAGAATTTCTGACAAATTCTGGACCTCTTTTTGTGTGACTTTTAAATATGTAATTACCCTACTTGCTGACTGCGCAGTGGATGTTCTAGTTCAATCAAGACCATGTGCGTAAATCCCGGGGATGGGAGTACATATCCCTCCCAAACTGGTAAGAGGGATGGGCTATTGAATCAACCCCCTCAACACACACACACACTTGGTGAAGCCCTAAAAGTTCAACGTTCATGCTCTGAGATGTCACTAATGTCTGATGAGGTCTGCAATACGTCAAATAAATAGGATTTCAACCGAATAAATGTTGAGGTTTTATTTTGGTGAAACAAAGTAAATACAAAATTAACAAGGGAAAAAGATGGCCCCTACATAGCAAGGCTACAACACTTGGAATGTTCGTACAGTTTGGGTTTGTTCTAATGATTGCGAATTAAAGTGAAACAATGCTTGTTTTCAGACTATTATTTCAAGTGTGGCTACCTTAAAAGTGGCATGCCATGTGATCAATCAACATTATTAGTCACATGACGATTAAATTCAGCCAAATGACAATTTAATTTTCTTGCATTACAACTCAATTTTACAAAACCTTGAATCACTGAAACGGTTAAAATTTATAACTGTTTAAAATTTGTAACCTGTAATATCTGTTTAAAATATGTAATACATAGCACCTCCAAGTATGACTATTAAGATGTAGAGTACATGTATATGAGTATGATAGAGTATAATAGTAAAGAGTTAACTTTTAACACTAAATAAGTGTCAAGGTAACAGTCTGTTAATTCACCCAAATCGTCAAATTCAACTGTTAAATTATAATAAATGAGCTTTAATATTTCTCCATCACACAGAGAAGTCACATCTTGAAAACATTTTACACAATTAACCTTCATTCACACAATTTAGTGGATTTTCTACCGATTTTTCGTCACGTCTCATTTTGTCATTAATACCAGGCAGACACATCTGCATGACGATAGAAACGTCTCCACAACAAAGGGCTTTAGTTCTCTCTGTTATTTGACCATTCTCAGCACATTGAACCACTAGCAAAACCATTCAATTTAAGCGCAAAAATTAAACTTCACATAAATCATTGCGGGACCTATGAAAAAAATTCGAGCGGAAGAGATACACTTGATATATACATCGCATCGTGTCGGATAGGCCCCTGAATCATTTTAGGCTACTTCAAATGAAAAGCAAATCGACCTAACCTGTGGTGTTAGCAATATTAGTACACTTTATTAGACTTAACGAGCTGACAAACAGCATTAATAATTATAATTCTAACAATAAAGTGATCATTAAACTTAGCTATCGAACATTACTGTGAGGCCCAAGTCGGATAGATTTTGTGGCATGTCTTTGCCGCACGTTGCAGGCGTTTTAAACTCGCAATATTTTGCCGCAAATGGGTTTCATCCACATGTCCTAAACATTGTTCGGCCCGCTTTTTCAAGCAGTGGCCGAAGCTAGCGAGTAATGGACAATACCTCTTCTCAGCTTTGTCTCGAGCAAGAGACCTACGAAACTTCTTGCTACATCTTTTGATGAAGGAGTTGGGGCACTGCTTGGTATACAGCTGTAGATCTGCGAGAGTGGTAAATTCAACGTCTGCATAAAACCAACAAAACGTGAATAATTAACAGGGTGTCTTGGAAACTAGGATATTGGGATGAATTGCTCGGTAACTTATAAAGATCATTCACACTGGTAATCAATTTCATTTTATTGTACTTATATTCAAAGCAATCTATTATGTGTTATGAGCGTTAACAAATTTCTTGATGAAAGCCTCATCGTCCTTGACTGTGCGTTTGGTTTCTCTTGGTGCGGGCTGGCCCGTATGGCCAGACTAGGATGCGGCGACCACACTATTCCATACATTCCCTATTGCGTTGAGGCCTTCCAACTCTTGTGTTTTAGTTCTTGGCCCCAGGCGTGTAACTTGCCAATCTTTTCTTTGTTCCTGTGCCCCAAAGCCACTTATTCAAATAGGTGGCTTTGTAATGTTACGGTAATACTGTGACACTTCCGCAAAACTTAGTAAATGAAGTTGAGGAAGATATGGACGATTTAATTAATTAAGTTCGGTCAAAGGTGCGTCCAGAAATTGGGCGGTACTGATTTTCGATGTCCCGGGCCGTATAGCTGACCCCGTACGTATTGCCAAAAAAGCAAGTCACGTGACATATAAAGGGTGTCAATTATTGACAAACACGGTGTCCTCCTATTGCAAAGTGTGTCATAAGTGTCGTGGGAAAAAATGTTTTTAAACGGGGAAGGTAACAAAAAATAACTAAAGTAAGTGCATCAATACTATTGTAAACAAAGTATGTCAAGTAATGTTTCATCCTCGTTTCCGCTTGTCCGAAAAATTGAAACCCAAAAGAAGTCTCCGGCCTTGCCCCCCTCCCAAAAATAATTCCTGGATCCGCCCCTGCATTTAGGAACAACGCATGTTCGCGGGCTGCGCTAAGAGAGCGGACCTCACACACACGTCCGAATGACTTCGGACGCATCTCATTTTAGGCATGCACTGTTGTAATACGGAACTGGTTCATTGTCACAGATGGCAACATAAGGACTTTTTTTGAACTGATTTTTTTTATGTTGAAGAGCAAAATGTTATTGCTGCATATCAATTTTTTTTAAATGATGTACATGTATTCATGATATGCACTGGCAGTTTCCGTGTCATGTTGAATAAATTTTGTTTAGGTCTGCCATTCTGGGGCAAATTTTGACAGTTTGTTATTTTATTTCCATGTGGAAATGTAAGGACGTTATTTTAACAGACCCCACAATGAAATAGCCTAAAAGCAAACAAAACCACGGCTTTTCGTTAACAAACCCATTATTTTGAAACCTCATATTCTGATTGTCTTTTCTGATCAATCGTGCTTGAACCAAGCACTGTCTTTCATGTATTTAATGAACAAAAAATAACCAGTCAAATAAAAGAAACGTTTATGGAAAATGCATGTTACCGATCATTTTTCCTACAAAATCTTGGTTTCTTACAAATGTGACTTGTGCCGTACTGATCTTTCAGTATAGCTCATCCCGTGGGTCTATTCTAACCATGACAAAATACCTTCAAATTCAATCAACCGATTTCTAGTGCATGAATAGTCTCCTGAGTGGTTTGCAGTTTGTTTATCCGCGTGGTATACAAGACTTACTGTCTTAAAATACCAGTTGCAAACGAATGATAATGCAAACATCAAAAGTGATTTTATAAACACTTTGGTTGTCAACCTTTAATGCCATTTCCCTCTTAATCTTTTATAAGCACTCTTTTTAAAGCTAATTGAATTTCATTTCATTGAGGCTGTTAGATTTTGTTCTTCTTGTTCGTGACCTCAGAAAAACTTTGGCAAGTTCATCAAATGAATAGACCATAAAGCTATCAAGCTGTGGAGGTGTTCCTAAAAATTAAGAACGGTTTATGCTACCAAACGACTTTACCTCTCGTCATCATCGTTCAATGCTCTACGATCTGTGCGTTCATGTCCAAATTTCACACTATGATTAGTAATTTCGGTAAGGTTAGTGCTTCTGGTAAGGACGCAGTTTCTCGACAGGATATGTGAAATCAATAAGTTCTTCTCCAAGTATACTCTAACCAGAATGGTACAGCCTGGATTTCAAACAGAGGTACATTATGTATTTATTATTGGCTAGTCTCTAAACCCATTTGTGATAATCAAATCTAAACAACTGCCAATCTCATATAGCTGCTAATCGCACGGATTACAAAAGACAAATATTTGCTGAGCAAACAGGTTCCAGCCAAAATGCCACACACGGCACTTGGGTCACCGGTTCTCAGTAGAAAAAAGTGCGCTTAGCAGCTCTATGAAATTGTGCCAAGCAAACTACACTTGCATTGAGGCTTGACTAGTTTTTTTTTTAATCCTCAATTTCTAATTCCCCACATAATGCTTTAAAGTCAACTGGCATACCATCAACAGATCGTGCAAAACGCGTCTTCTTCTCATCACCGAGGGCGCCCTGACCAGTGAGCTTCAGCAAGAGGCGCAGGTCCAGTAGAGGGCAGTGCTGTGAGTCCAGGTAAGCCTGAGCCCTAGTTGCAACCATTCGGGCATAACTCTGTATATTACAGCCAGTGTCATAACCAACTACGCAGTCCACAAGGTACTGCAATAGAACCAATTCAATAGTACAGTTAGGTTGAAAAGAGACCCAAAATTAGCCATACAAAAAAATCGCTGTTCATGAAGCAACTAGTGAAGACATTTTTTTAACGGAATCAATAGGGAGCTAAGCTAGGATCAAGATCTAGCCATGGGTCTTGTGAAAGTCGATGAAGACATGCGTGCCAAGGATAAGTTCAGGTTGCATTGCAAGACAGGAAGAAAAGACCAGCGTGAAGCAGCTTGACTTCATCTTTTACTAACAAAAAACATGAAACTATTTGCAAAAGATTTGAAGGAACTGGAAACCAAACTCTTTCTTGTGAGGAGCGAGGATTCTTGGAAGGCAGGATATTCACGAATTTCCACAACTGCCGACTGCAAAATTTCAGTGGAAAGTGACGCTTCCCACGTTTCATGAGGAGTATTCTTCCTTCACAAACTTTTCATTTCGTGTACAGTGTAAACGAAATTTTGACAAATTAATTGATTGCTTTTTGCAAGATTTTCGTCTCTTGTAACTGGATAGGGTACTATCAGCCTTGCGCAAAAGCACTCCCTCATCGGTACAAAAGAGCCATGTTGGCTACGAATGTTCGTTTTGTTTGAGGTTTTTCAAAGATGGTTTTCAAATTTTGCATATTTAAACATCAAATAGAAATTTCAGGCGAAGTACTGGCTTCTAGCTTCTCAATTTTTTTCGACAGTGAGCGGGTCAAACAGACCTCGACCCTCACGCCGTCGGTATATAGGTGGTGTCATCAACTCTACAAACTCATAAATTCCACGAACAGTTCTTGGTTTGTTTAATTTTTCTAAACACCAATACCCAAAGGGAATATCTGGTACTCTCAGTCTATCTGGGCTTACATTTAAGGTAAACAGAGTAGAAGGGCATTATTCAGTAAACTTACTAAAAAGTACCCATGCATACTGTCTTATTTGACAGTTAATGAATTGTCATGTATACTCGGCCATGAAAAGGCGTCTATTTTACTAACTTCTCAAAAGATGAATAAAAATTGGTAGGCCTAATGCAAGTACATTAATATGGCCTTATCTCATGGGCAGAACATCATATGGTACCTGTATAGCTTTGCACGTTTTTTCATCCACCTTGCTTGATTTGAGTTCAGTTGTCATGAATTCCAGATATAACTTGTCACACGTCTGTATAATTTCTTCTTCACACTCTGTGGAACAATAAAAATCAGCACTTCTTAAAGCAATTGGCCTGAAGTGTTTCAGGACCTACCCGGTACTCTTATCCTCTCCCACCACGAGTCCCGTCGCTGGCTGCAGATTTTTTTGTAGGTCTACTGCTGAATTGAACTCCAATGGCCCAGCATACCGCCTGTGCACAGTGTACGTGGTGACCGCGATCTGATCACGCCATGCCGATCTTCTGCTGGCGCAATTTTGATGAACACAAACAGCCAGCGACCAATATCATTCATGTCAGAAATGTCGGCTATCATAAAATACTGAAATTTCGGATGTGCACGTCTCTGTCTGTATTTAAACTTAATGTTTTATTCGGTTGCAGTACAATATGAACGGTATGCATGATGTAAGTGCATGTGTCGTGTTTCTTGGCTTGAATTCACTATGGCTTCGCGAATGAAGATCATGAAGGTGATGGTCCACGTCCCCAGCAAGCACGCAGGAGACTGATAACAACGATACGGGATCTGCAGGTCTAGCAACAGTGGCAGTAAGTGGACATCTGGTCGGGGGTAAATGCTGCAGTAAAATGCATTTCATTTACTTAATAAACTAAATGTGAATATGCTACAGCAAAGGACACGTCCAAACAGACTTCATCCCGCTTCTAAACCATGTGCATTCAATGAAGCGCTTCCTGTATTTAGTTCTGTATCTTACCACTCATTTAGCTGTTGACAAGGATCAGGTTAAAAATACATGTATGCTCATGCTGTTTACGGTCCTCTTCAAATCTGGAGTTTCTAATATGCACAGTTGTTAAAAATCTTTCTACAGAGTGTCAAAATTGGATTCCATTTTCTACACGTAAACCAACAAAGTTATTTTCGGACTTAATTATATTCTCTTCTCAGAAAATGAAGCATTCACAGAATAAAACTTAAAGTGATCGGATCGTGGTCACGGTGCACACATGTACAAAGGCCGACGGCAGGTATGCTGGGTCATTTGGGTTCAGTTGAGTACATGTAGTAGACCTCATGAATAATTCATGTTTTTGACTCACCCACCAAAGGAAAAAAGAATCGAAAGGCAAGTTGTCAGTCACTTTTAATGATTTTAAATCAATGAAATGAATGAAAATACATTATTTACATGCACATAATTGTATTGTAGAATGGTGCAAAGAAATTTAATCTCCCACACTGCTTAAACAAGGTATCACAAAATGGTTCCATGCATGTTACTGATTGTTCTCGACTTTACTCGAGAAGACTCGCGACCACGAGACACGCGTTGCTCATAACGCTTCAATTTATCCATTTTATTTTGACTGCTTTTATTTATATATCACTTTTAAATGCAGAAATTTCGATCAGGTACATAATCTTCTTTCTGTAGTTTTATTTTCAGAGTTGGCCTAATCCTTTAATACGCGCGATTGGGGCCGCAATTTTGAATCCACAAGTCTTGAGTGCCAATCACAACAAAAAGAACGTCTTTTTTGTAAAATGCGAAAAAAATACAACAAACAGAATGCCTTTTTCCCAAATGCGAAAAAGCCTAAACAAACAAACAAACAGACAGAAAGAATGCCTTTTTCGCATAATAGCGAAAAAAAACCTGTAACGATTACAGTACCTGCTTCTGCTGAACGGTCGAACCAGCTAAAAAAAAGAGGAAAAAAGGTAACGATTACAATTACGGGTTTGGCTGAACCCGCTAAAAAAAAGTATCGATTACAATACCTGCTTCGGCAGTGTAGCCGAAGCAGCTAAAAAGCAGAACAAAAATAATGCCTTTTTCGCAAAATTGCGAAAAAGCCCCCTAAAACCTGGAAGTTTGTGCCACAGAATAAGGCTTTACTCCATTTTCATTGTTTTCTATGAAAGGAGAACAGGGCTTTAAAAGAAAGGACGTTAAATGTCACATTATTTTCGTCCATAACACATCCCTTTCCTGCTACCTGCAAAGTTTCAGTTGAATTGCAGATGGACTCTAGGAGATATATGGCTTTAAACATTGCACCTTTAATGTTATGTGACTTGTCATGATGTCATCATCACATTAGGTAAATTTTCGTCTAGAACACTTTCTTTCCTTGATATCTGTTTCAAATCGATGGGATGTGTACTCCAGGAGATACAGGGCATTAAACAGTGCACCTTTAATGTCACGCGACTTGTTTGCTGATGATATGGTCATCAACCCAGGTCAATCTACGTTTACAAACCCTCCCTTCCAAACTATCTGCAAGGTTTCAATCCAATCAGACACGTAAAATACAAAATATTATTGTTATCGCGGAAAAGGCACAGATAAGAGATTTTAACATTTGTCATTTCGTATGGTGTTCCATACAATGCGATCTGCTCGGAATTTTGTCAGGTCCTGAGTATATGCACTGTGCGCTTCCTGCTGCATGTTACAGGCAAGTATTGCGCGTCCACACACACAAAAGCCAATGCACAGTATACGAAAGAGATTTTTGAGTTCGCAAATATTGTTAGGGGTTTTCGCCGTCTGCGCTTCATCTGCGTGAAGAAGTACACCACTTATGCACTTCATGCAGTTGACTTCAATGTTATAGCTATCATCTAACGAACAATTCACGCTTTAATCTGTTACGGTTGATTTTTTTTTCCGAGTTTTGAAGAATAAAAGCACTTTTTAACAAAACTTCCAATCTGATGACATCATCGGCCCCAAATTTCACGTGTTGACTGGGTGAAGATCATCATACATGTCAATTTTCAGGTGATTCGGACAAACTTCGCCACAGACATCTACTCAGAATTCATTTTTCAGAACTTTTAACCTGTTGCTAGAGAGCGCTCGATAATGACATGACGTCATCAGTAGATGATTTGAAGAATACTATACCCCCCACCGACTAACACCGTTGAAAGCAAGCTGAAAGCACTTTTAAATAATAAGCCCACTTCCGGTTTCGACTGGAGGGAAGGGTCACGTGATTTGACCTAACCGAGATAAAATGAAAACCCAATTTTACCTTGGCACTTGCCGCAAACAGAATGTTGCGGGAAGCCACGGTTGGTTTTTATATGGATTTTAAAATAAATAACGTAATATTTAGATATTCAAAATTTAAAAATAAATCACCTGATGATGTCATTGTGACGTAATTATTTGAGTAATGTCTTTTCTTCGAGGTTTTTCCTTGGTGTAACTTTGATGACATTTGAAATAGCTGAAAAACCAAAATTTTGCCTTGAAAACGTGTACAAAGTAAAGGACCTTAAATATTGAAAAATCAATAATAAATCGTTAAATGACGTCATCATAACGTCACGTTTCGAAGACCATCTATGCATAAGGGTTCTTCATTGGTACTAGTTTGATTAAAATCCGAAGTTGCAAAAGCACTGAGGTCGTGTACAGAAAAAACGTACACAAAACAAAAGGGCGTTTGAGCAGAAGAAGAGAAAGAAGGAACAAAAAAAACGAGAGCTTCCATGTCTGTTTGCTTTTCAATGAAATGTCATCGTTATGATTGCATATCTGCAAAGTTTCATCCCGCTGGGACATGTACTTTTGGAGATAAAGGGCTTCAAAGGGTGCAACTTTAATGTCATGTGACTTGTCATTTCAAGACGTCATTATCACTGGTTTATAACACCTTCCTTTCGTTTATAACACCTCCCTTTCTAGTTATCTTAGTTTAATTTGTACGCCAAACAAAAAAAAAAATTCTTCAATGTTTGTTTGAAATAGGATGACCTTGATCTCAGATACAAACACAATATGTTTCCCTTGCCTACTTTAAAGAATAACGGGCGAAGAGTAATTTGATGAATACATATTTCAAATGCGAATGCTTAATTCAATTCACTTCATACTTTTGCCTCTTCCCTGTGAAACGTACGGAAATTATCAGTCAGGTAATACAAAACGTGGAATGTCATCAAATGAGGGCGCACTTCAGTCATCTCGTAAGATGATTGCACAAACGAGGATCTGCGGCAGTTCGGTGTAAGGATTTGCAACCGTGACCATGTAAAATCATCTTAAAATCAGCGGATTTGGGACTGTTAGTACAATCCGTATACACAGACTAATAAATATAGATTTAAAAGACGGGAAGAAAAATAATGCAAACATCAACTTCACACAATTCTTTCAAAAAATATGTTTCCCTATATAGGTTGTATTGTGTTATTGGGGTGTGATCCCTGGCTTTGGTGTTTCAGGTATAATGGCTTCTGGCTATCGCCGCCCCCCCCCGAACAGAGATATTGACAAATGGGAAGAGCCAAGAACGTAGGGCTTGATAGCTCAGTTGGTAGAGCACTGGTACGGTGTTCCAGAGGTTGCAGGTTCAAATCCTGCTCCAGTCAATTTCTTTGTTCATCTTTATAATTCTTTCAAAAGTACATCTTATTACCTATGATTACTTTTGACAACTGTGAGTGCACGGCAGCACCGTCCAAACTTTGAACGTGGAATTTAAGTGTATGTTAAGAACTACACTCAAAATATTGAACTTGTCCAGAGGTTGAAGGATTATTAAAGTTAAAGAATGTGAAATTGTCTTACTATTTATAAAATATAAGAGAAAAACTGCATTTGTACTTTAGGGCATTTCACTATTGTGTATTACATACATACTGGTAAAGGTTCTTTTTTGGACTACATACTTAAGAAGACATGAGAACACATTCACAATATTAGAATCTTATGACCGCTGAAAACCTTGCATAAGGCTTCCAAAACGTGTCTACAATTTCTGCAGTAATCTTGAAAAAATATGCTGGGGACATGCACATCTATATCTCATGTCCTAGTGGTTGCAGTTGTTTCAGATAATCATGTTACTTGGTTAAGTCCTGTAGAACAGTCTTGGTAAGAGTTGCATTTCCTTCTGCCACACCAACAAGTTGAATGACTTCCTGCATGTATGTGCTGGTAAAAATTCTTCTGCGTCATCTAAAAAAAGGAAAATATTAATTCATTGTGCGTCAGTTCATATGCTGATGAATGGAAAAAGTGTAAGAACATGCAGCACTTTTGATATCACTTGGCTACATGTTGCAGTGGGGGACCGGACACATGGATGTTGATTAGTGAGCGATTTACATCAGTACATGCATGGGTACCCCTCTTGTCTTTGCTTCATGACTGCATTTGTCAGAACTGGCCATCTCTTGTGTGTCAATATCATTCCAACAGCAGGCTTTCTCAGCACTATTTACCTTGTTATTTTCCTTGCTTGGTTGTCCAACAGCTTCCTTCCTCTTGAGTAGCCATGCTTCTGATATACATGTACATGTAACCACAGTTACGTTGCATTTCAATCCTTAAAACTAACATCGTAGAGAACAGATTTTTCTCATTTCACTTCAGCAGCAGTATGAAGGATACCTGTACCTTTACACACAAAGCAAACAAAGAGATAGAAATATTTGGGATAATCAGTTTACATCCACATGTAAATAATCAAACACCATGAACCAATAATAATATGATTTCGTCTTTTGGGGGAATAACGATGCACATTGAGTGTTTTGAAAATATAAAGCCTTCATGCCTTCATGTTGTTACGTGTGGAAAGATAACTAAAAAAGCCCAATCCGTCACACACGGCAGCAAAATAATTTAAGAGGAAGAAAAACAAACAGGACATTTTCAACAACCAGCAGTTATCAATGCAGTAAAGCGTGACTTGCATTAGAAGAACTGAAAGTGCATTAATTTTAATAATGAAACATCGTCAATCAACATGGAGAGATAAACAAGTAAATAAATTTAATACAAATTTATACAATTATAATAAATGAAGTATTGGCCGATATACATACAAAGAAATTGAACATAAGAAAACACAGAATACCGGGTTGCTCTGTTGACCGGCGGGCGAGGACTGCTGCGAGGTGTGGTCCACGTCCAACGAGGGGGACTTGACTGACCGCTGGTCCTGAAGGCGACGCAATGCTACTTGGCTCCACAGTAAAATATACTCACGGCAGATAGATGTCATACCCGTGCAGGTACAGTTCAGAGCAATGGACCAGTAGCCTTGAGCGCCAGCATGATGATTGGGAAGAACGGCCAAGTCCAGCGGGTCCATTAAGGTAGCTTGACTTGGACACCGGTAGTAGCTGGATCATTGGTGCTGTAAGCGTCTCGCCTGCCCGTGGTGGTATGGTCAACAGAGAACCCGGCATGGGAGTATCTACCCAATTATAGTGTCCTAGCACATCCCCTGTCTTTCATGTCCTGAAGATATCCAGATACTTCAAATGATACGGGGACCAATTTAAAATACGAGGATCTTATGAATGCCGACAAATTTGCATCATTCTGTCAAACCAGTTTTGACAGAAAAACAATTTCTGCACTTGTCTTTTCAATAAACTATAACAGGTACATGTACACATACAAGTAAATCCTGTTGCTTGTAGTTTTTCAGGTAATCTTGTTACGAGTACTTTGATGAAGCTGTTCTCACCATTCTGTTGATTCGTCCTGCTTCAAGTGCATTTGCATCAATGATATCAGGGACATCCAATATGTATGAAGACATCCCCTATTTCTGTGGTGATGAATATCTGTATCATCACAAAAAGGAAAACATTTATTACAAATATAGCAGTTCACGTGCTGATGCATGGAAAAACTGATGTCAGAACATGAACACAAATAGAGTGTACATATATTCAGTGGCATAGCAACCTTGGGTTCTCACTAAATGGGGAGTACGTGGGGAACCGGGTATGTGGATGTTGATGAGGGAACCATTTCAGATGCTGGTACATGGAACCCCCCCCACACACACACATACAAACTTTGCTTCATAACTGCATTAATCAGAACTGGCAATCTGTTTTTATGTCCGTGCAACAGTAGGCCTTTTCACCATTACCAGTTAATTTCCGTACTTGGTTATACAGCAGCTTCCTTTAGCGAGGACATCTGTGCATGTGATCTACATGTAATTGCAGTGACGTTGAATTCCAAACATGGAGAACAACTATCTGTGGCTTTCACTTCAACAACAGCATGACGGATACATATACACACGAAACAAATTAGGAAATTGAAATATTCAGCTTATATCATGTAACATGTAAAGAATAAAACACCATGAACCAGTAATAATATGGTTTTTGTCTTCTGGGGGAATAACAATGAAATATACACATTGGGTGTTTTGCAAACATGAAGGAAGAAACTATTTAAGGGTTTTTTCCCTGAAGTTTATCATATAAAAACCCGCCAACATCTTTTCTGTTCTGAAGTTTTGCAGACACTTCGAATGACATGGGAACCGGTTGAAAATATCGGGATCTTCTGAATGCTGAAAACTTTGCACTATTCTTCCGAAACCACCGAGTTTGAACAATTTCTGCAGTTGAGTGTCTTTCAACGAATTATACCAGGTACATGGACACATGCAAGTAAATCTCACAGCTGTCAGTTGTAATTTTTTCAGATGATCTTGTTACGAGTACTTTGATGAAGCTGTTCTCACCCTTCTCAGGATCAGTCCTGCTTCGACTGCACTTCCGTCAGTGATACTGGGGACATCCAACATATATGAAGACTGCCTTCATGCATGTGTTGATGAACATCTGTATCATCGCAAAAGGAAAGCATTTATTACAAGTGCAGCAGTTCATGTGTTGATGCATGGAAAAACTGGTCAGAACTTGCACACAAATAGAGTGTACATGTGCACAATGTATTCATTGGCATAACAATGTCACTAAATGGGGAGTATGTGGGGACATGAATGTTTAAGTGGGGGACTCCAGCAGTAGCATGAAGGATACCTACTCTACACACACAAAGTAAATAAGGAAATTGAAATATTGCGTATAATCGGCTTACATTGATATGTATACAAATAACCATAAGTCTACATTCATATCTCATACATTTTTGGATATTTACCATGAACGCGTAATGAAATGTCTTCCGGGGGAAAGATATGAAATACGGTATGCACGGTGAGTGTTTCAGGGGACTTTAGTGAGTTCGATGCCTGAACAGCGCAATCAGAAATTTGTCAAATGTATCCTGATTTGATTTACCTTTTAATAAAACCCATTATACTAAAACATTGAATAATCAGGAGGGAGTACAATGAATATGCGCAAGTTGATCTCCGGATTGTGCTGAACACCTCGGACGTACATAATCATTGTTAATCGACTTTTTATCATTTGGAAATGGCTACCAAGTCGAAATGTTAAAAAGAAGGGTTTTTTTTAGAGTTCAAGTTACTTAAGATATGTATGTCAATGCAAACTCAGAGCTACGTGTAATTTGAGTCAGTTTTGTTTCCCCAACATCACTGTCTAGAGCTAAAGAGCACAAAAAGTGCAGACAAAAACTTGCAACTGAGAATGTTTTTAATACTTTTGCCTACCAGTTCCAGCACTTAATCCATCCAGCTTCCAAACCCAGCTGTCCACCGCACGTCTGCTTGTTGGGCTCGTCGACCCATGCTCACGATCATTGTGTTCATGCCTAGATTCGGTGTGAACTCCTGCAATTTCTTGCTCCAGTGCATGAACTTGGTTTTAGTTCAGCTTTTGTGGGATTACTGTGGAATCCTCTGATCAAACAAAGTCCATTAGGCACTTCATTCGTGCAATTTCAGGCCCAGTGTTCCTAACTTTGGTCAGAAGAAAACACAGGAGCCCCTCGAAAATATCTCCCGATCGAGTCTATGTGTTGACGTGATCCCGCAAATACGGTGCCAATTTGTGTTGAGTACTGCTTTAAATAATTAGTTGAAGCCTGACATGAAATCTGTTTTCACAATGTTTTCACAACCAAGCCAACTTATGTAAAAATCATGCACTGAGCCTGTGCGACAATGCGAACATTGACTGATCGCACAGGTCAGCGGATCGCGCACGCGTAGCATAAACTGTGTGCATGTTAATGTACAAAGTCAACGGGTTTCAAAGTGTGTACAAAGTCAATGGGACAAATTAAATCTTTGAAATTAAAAAATAAATCTAATTATGATGTCAAAGTGACACCATGGTTCTACGTTCATCTATGGTCTATGGTGTTTACTTGGACCAAGTTTCATTTTTTTCAAAGTCTATGCCATTCTGGCAGTTGAAAAAAGTGCTCAAAGCCTATGAGGAAAAACTAAATGCTCAAAATTTAATAATACATCACTTGGTGAGGTCATCATGACATAATTATTTTAGTATTATCTTTTCTATTTTTGTGCAAAAAAAAAAACAACAAAAAAACAAAAAAAAAACAAACAAACAAAAAAAAAACATCTTGAAAATAGTTTGCGGTACCCGCTGCTTCATTTGACTCGGACCGGCCAGCCGACCCCGGCAAGCTCGGTGGTCGAGTGGTTAAGACATCTGCACTAGTAAGCAGGAGGTCGTGGGTTTGAGTCCCACCCGAGTAAGCTTGTGAGGTTTTTTTCGCAAGCTGTCAGACAAGCACTGAGCACACAGTGTTTATTAATATACGTTGGGTAAGGGCAAAGCCGTTATATATAATATTTTTGTGCAATTCCTCTTTTATACTTCTAGCAGCTTCAACAATGTTCATGAATGCTGATCTCTCTGAGTAACACGAATGCACACTGATCTAGATGTTATAATTACCACTAACCCTAAAAGGAAAAAATGATGCGCCCTGCGTCCCCTCTCAGTGCTGGGTCTCAATGCGCGGTCTGCGCTCAAGATGACAACATTGACCGGGGGAGTAGATGATCTAGAAAGGATATGGCTATTGACACGTGTTCCAACTATTTTTGTCTTACGTTCCATCCAGGGTTTTTATGAACTTTCAATCGTCGTTCACAAAATTGCAGACTCCATAAGCAACTAAAAGGTTCGATGATTCCTAAGGAAATTGGCTACTGGAAGGTAACAGGTTAATAGTTTTACTTTTAAAAAGGCAGTATATTTTAGTATAAAGGTACAAGTATAAAACACAAAAAAATTGTTTCATTTCAAGTACTTGAGGAGACATTTACAGTGTAGTCGAGTGGGTGGGTGCTGGACCGGGGTGTATTTGTTGTTGGTTGGTTGATTGGTCAATTGTAGCTTTACATTTCACAGAAAAAGGGAAAAAAAGAGTTCGAAACCAAGCACACATTAAATTATTTTAGAATAAGAATCGACATAAATTCGTTACTAAAGCAGTTAGTCTGTAGCACGACTTCAAACTGACTTCAGAATAATTCTCACCAAAAACAAATGACGGGTCACGCAATTCCGAACAAAAAATTGTGACGTACATGAGCAAACAAACCTTCTATTTATTTAAACATACATTCGAACCTTGCACCTGCACATTCCACCTACCATCTTGAACCGCTAATGGAGAACTCTGTTGTAAGAATTCCTCTTCAGAGAATTGGCCGTCTCCGTCCCTGTCATAAGCCTTAAACACCTGGTCTACTACAACGGAGTGATTGCCATTCTGATTAACGTACTCTTCCCTGGTCACGAAGCCGTCCCCGTCCTTATCAGTCAGCTGAAAAAGCTGCTTTCTAGATGAGAAATCGTCATAGAACACCTCCTCTTCTTCATATTTGTCGTCACGCATTTGACTGAAAGAAAGAGGAATTCTCTTATCGATGTAAAATACTGAGGGCACTGTTGCTAGCTCTGTGGAACGCAAGATCCATCAGCAACAAACTTTTAACAGTAACCGCAACGAGTTTTGAAAATCGCACGGATGTGTTCGTAGTGACTGAAACCTGGCTGAACAAGTCTAAAAATAAGCAGAAAAAACTAGAGGCAAGACGTGGCATTATTTTCTGTAATGCACAATGAATAGAAGTACCACTATCACACTTTCCAGTGGAAATAAGTCACAGACCTGTCAAAGCGCACAAAGTAAGGCCGAAATAGATTTCAAGTTACACTACTTAAAATCGCTTAACAAACACACGTAATTTAGCATGGTGTACTGAACAAATTCAATCAAAAACAACCTATGCCGGTAATAACGTTAGTCAGTCTTAGCTGTAACGTATAAACTTATATTTACAAATAGGTCATTTAGGAGACATTTTGTGGTAAATTTTTCATCATTAGGGAGACATTGGCGTTTAGGGAGACATTTCAGTGTCTCCCTATTTTCAAACTACCAGAAGGAGGCCGAATTTTACCGTCCAAATTTTGAGAGATGATAGATTAGGGTCTAAAATGAAAACATTCAAAGTTTCGTTCAGATCAGACTAGGGAATATTGAATTATGGGACAATAAAGTTGGAAAAATTTTGTGCACGTTCTTATGGGAATGTCTCCCTAATGACCAATTAGTGCTAATTATTATTACCAGATTACTTAGCCGTAAAAATGAGAGAGAAAGTGGTATTAATTCAACTTTGTGTGCAAAATACAGTACCTAAATGTCCTATTCCAAACCTGCTAATGATATGTGGTGCTTATCAAATCACTGGTGTCACATTTGGGCGACTGTATTTGCTGTAAACACTAAGACAAAATTTGCCACCAAACATCATCAGCGAAGACATGATTCTCAGCATGCACGTTACATTGTTTACATGTACATGTGTGTGTAATCCGACTCACTTAATATTGGACACCATATGCTGTTTCAGCAGCACCATACCGATCAATTTTGCCACTCTTTCAAAATGACAAAAAAAAAAGGTTTTCGCACAAACAATTTCGGTTTTTTCAATAATTATATGAAATAAAACAGCGCCACCAATAGTCGTAAAAAGTTTTACATTATTTGTAATTTTGATCAAAATAGTTGAAGGAAACTTTCACTTATAACTCAAAATGCCAAAACGTCATGAAAGATCATCATGCAGATTCTTGGTTGTCTATGGTCTACAGTACAGAAATCTGTAAAACTGTATTATATGTCTGTGAGGGGACCTATGGCGGGGCGGGGGGGATGCAGGTCGGGGGGGGNGGGTGGATGCAGGTCGGGGGGGGGTGTTGCCTCGGGACTCTCTTCAGCGGGCGTTGCCTCAGGACTATGGGGAGGATGACTATGATGGCACGTAGGTCCTAGTTGTATTGCATGTACATGTACATGTACATGAATGAGCCCAGGAAATCCAGGGGAGTCACTTATCCTCTCTCTGGCTCTACATGTATTTATTCAAGTCTGGGCCCGGGGGCAACCTGTAACAATATGGCAGGAGTTCCATTTCTACGTTTTTTTGGAGAAATATGACTTACGAATTAATACGGACACATGTTTAAAGCAGATACTCAAATATGACACCATACTAGGGATGAGAACCCTAAGAAAAACATGCAGGGGTGACTGCATCAAGCACCCAAAGATGGAACTGCGAACACAGGCTAGCCCTGCGCACTGTCTGACCAACACACTCACTTTCACAGACTACAACACCAATTCCATCCCTGAAATGCACGATAAAGCCACCAATCCACATGACCCTCCCAAAATTGTGACAGTGATTACAGGGTATACAGTTGTGTAATTAAACTTGTTTAACTTGCGGAAAATAAATTGCCCAAAAAATCCAGAATGCATTAATTCATGAAAATCATCCTCCAATCAAAGCCCTTCATAGATCACTAGTTCTACAACACAACCAATACACCACTGCACATTGCCACACTATGTGTGCCATGAGTGTAAACATGGGTTACATACCTTTGTGCATTTCGTTGCAGTGCTCCCTAACTTTCACAACAAAAATATCTTTCACAACTGCTTAGTACTTTCCACAAATATCACCTGAATAATCTACATTAATTGCCTGACACGATAAAAGGGACATGAATGGTGATCATCTGAGTAGGCCTATTCAGTAAAATTATTGTCTTGAAAAGTGGGCAAAGAAAAACAGCACATTTACCAATAAAGACATGGCAGGTACCACCTGGCATGCCTAGCAACCGCAACCAGGTGACATGTAGTTTGTGCAAAATACAAAATTAACCAAATACAATCTGAGCAACACTATGTCAATTATTTTATAAAGAAATATTGCTAATCAAAATAAACATAATGGTTCATAAAAATTTAACTATACTGTTCCCTTTTCTTAACTAAGAAATTAACTTAGCTGCTTGTACAAAACCAAAAATACTTTTGCCATCTTTAATCAGTGTAGTCTCTTTTCATGTCAAAGAGTGGATAGTCTCCACTCAAGTCGCTTTAACTAATTACAGTAATTGAAGTAAAGTGGAAAAAGCCAGAGAAAGGAATATGGAAGAAACAACAAAAACCCACAACTAATCATCCATTACATATCCTCCAAAACAAGGTTCAGGTAAAAAGTGTCATTTGGCTGCCAAACCACTGTCCATGTTGGGGGAGAGTAGTATAGATGGCCAATTCTGCTCCAATCGTAAAAAAATCTCGCTCTGCCGCGCTCTCTCCAAAAAAAATGCAAAAATCTGAAATCCCAAAACTTGACGACAAACCATGGATCTCACTGTCACTAGCAATTCGAATACACCAAATTAGTTGCCACGCGCGCCGCTTGGCTATACTCGTCCAATCAGCAGCATTGCATCTGCTTTGTGAGGGATACGAAACACGGTCCTAAATGTTATCACCCCCAACAGATTTGTATTGCTGATTATTTACTTTGACGATTTGCTGTGCCTTTGTTAATTTTTTTTTATTGAAAAATATCATCACACTTTATATCAAAGTCGCCAAACCAAAAATCGAAATGTCAGACCAAAAGCAAAAACCAATATCTGTGAATGAATGGGACCAAAATTTTAATTGTAACTTTTACAAAACACACTTCAATCATTTAGCGTGACAGACGCTTGCAATTCTAAAAATTGTGTAAACTCTAATTCTATCGATAAATATATCTATTGTAGGGAATGTAACTATTGCAAAAGTTGTGAGGAATGCAAAAGTTGTAAACACTGTAAAAAGAGTTATGGTTGTGAAGAATGCACCAGCTGTGTTGATTGCTATCAATGCACAAAGTGTGTTGATTGTGATCATAGTGAAAACTGTAACATTTGTAGCGGTTGTGATAATTGCATCGATTGCGAAAAATGTGTTGATTGTAAATGCTGCATCAAATGCAAAACTTTAGATGATAAATCGTTTATAGCATATATGCAGGGCATTAATAGTGGATACGGTTGCTATAAAAGTATGAGATTTAGGAAAAAAGATGAGCCCGATGTCGACTTTGAATCTGACTGTAGAAGTAAAACAATTAGGCTTAATAGTTGAACATGACAATGACCTATTCATAGAAGAACAATAATATTTATGAGTCGTTTAACAAAACAAAATGAAAATATTATCACATACCACATACAAACCACACCAACCATGTCAAACCCAACGATGGAACCAAGTTAGTTTGTTTAAGAATTTTTTATTGATTGGCGTTGAGTTTGTTTGTTAAAAAAAACCCGGGCGGCTAAAAGGGCCAAAATCGGCTAAAAGGGTCAAAATTAATTTTACAAAAAATAAAGTATCATTTTTCAAATGATTTTCGTTTAGCTTCGTTGTGAAAAAATGAAGTGAACTGCTTGCGACCTTTGGTTTGGACTCTGTGGTTTTTTTTTAATTATTTAGTATTTTTACTGTTTTGATTTTGAGAACTTTTGGGGGCATATCGTTTTCAGATGTTGGTTATTCATTTCTTAAATTACTTCGGTTATAAATTTTTTAGAGTTTGTTTTGTGTTTTACCATCTACATTTTGATAAGAAAATCTTGTTCGCCATGATTATCCATTTATGGTAAAATAGTTTTTGTGACATGTAACTTTTAATTATTTTAATTAAAATTTTTATAATTTGTTTCTGAAATGGTTTTGGTGCTTGTTTTGTGTTTTATTATTTAGATTTTTGAATAAGAAGATTCTGTTTACTCATAATTGTTTATTTTTGTTAAAATTAATTTTGGCCCTTTGGGCTGCCCATATTAGCTATGTTATATAGGCATCAAGGAAAACGGAACAACGGAGTGCTTAGCGATGAATTGACAAGCATGGAAGAAAGGGGTTAAAGTCTATATCTGTGTCTTGTATTGATGAAACAACGAGGCGGCCCATGTTGACGACCACCGAAAGAATGTGAGAATGAAAGCTGCACTGTGCCTATTTATATTTAGGGAAACTTGGACCAGCGTCATAGTGAAACTGCATAGGTGTTTTCAAGGACAGTTTTTTTTTAAAGACAGCTGGTAAAATAATTGTGCAGTTGGAAAACAATCTTCTAGCGTATCCAAAAAGTACATATATTTTGTGGTATAGACAACTAGCAATGCTCTAGACGTATCTAAAGAAAGTTACTCCCGAGTTTTGCTCCGGTGTGAAACAGTGTACTTGTGGTGGGAACTTACACATGACTCTTGAACAGTGCAGCGATATCGAGGTGGAAGACCTTGGGTATTTTGTTTTAACAACTAGACTTTAAAAAATACATTGCAATTTTAAAAGACAGTGATTCGCTATAAACCTCCAACAACATCTAAAAGAGTTTTATACTTTCATCAATGAAAAACCTCCACCGGAAGCATATGTGGAAATAAAAGAAGACACTTGTAAACACGCCAATAAAAGAATAGAAAACGGATTTTTCAATTGTCTCGATTGTTTTAAAAGATTACAGCCTTATACAGACTTTGAAGTGGAAAACGTAGGAGGCCAATATAATCAGCGTTTTGTTTATAAAAAGCCAAAATCTAAACCAAACAAAGTGCTCAATCAACTAGACATTCAATTGACAGAAGATCAAGCGGGCTGCACAGGAAACAAGTTAAACAAAGTTTTACAAGGCAAGGTCTCTAGGGGGCAAGTAGTCAGGGCGTCGGTGGCGGTGTGTTATCAAGACTTGCTTTTAGATCAAACGCCAGACAAAGTCAGGGGCCTGACGTGCTGGAACTGGTTCTAGTAGGCAATTTAAGAAACATTCTCAATTGCAAGTTCTTGTCTGCTCTTTCTGTGCTCTGTAACTCTGGACATGAGGCTAGGGGAAACAGAACTGACTCAAATTAGCTCTAAACTTGCATTGACGTATCCTGAGTATGAACGCCTGACCATGTCCAAATGATTAAAAAGGCAATTTGCTGAGTTCGAGTTACTTAGATATAGCCCAGACCAGCTTTGACAATTATTATGTACATGTACGGCTTACGTGTTAAGCCAAATCAGAGATGAACTTGATGAGCTCATTTTTGATGATTTTAATGGATTTTATGCAAAGGCAAATCAAATCAGAATTTGCAAAAGATTTACAATTATGCTGAACATAGGCACTGAACTGATTAAAGTCCCCTAAAACACTCACCGTGCATATATATATGCCCCCAGAAGACAAACCATGTCACGACGGGGTCATGGTATATAAAAAAAATGTTTAAAATTTGAATGTAGACCTATGGTTATTCACATGTCAATGTAAGGTGATTATATGGAATATTTAAATGTCTTTATTTGCTTTGTGTGTTTAGGTATCCTTCATGTTGCTGCTGGAGTGAAAGCTAGAGAAAAATCTGTTTTCCTTGTTAGTTCAGAACATTGGAATTCAACGTCACTGCAGTTACATGGTCAGAGACGTGGGTACCCACAATAAAGGAAGCTGTTGTGTTTATAACTAAGCAAGGAAATTCACAGGTAATGGCAAAAAGGCCTACTGGCATACAGACAGACGAAGTCATGAAGTCATGAATGAATGAATGAAGTCATGAAGCACAGTTTGTGCGTGGGGGTGCAGGTGTGTGTATGTGTGGGGGGTCCATGGTTCCCTCATCATCATTCAGGTCCCCACATACTTCCCATTTAGTGAGTGAGAACTCAAGGTTCCTACATGTATGCCATTGAATACATGTACACAATGTACGCTATATTATTGTGCCCAAGTTCTGATATAAGTTTTCTATGCATCAACACATGAACTGGTGCACCTGTAATAAACGTTTTCCTTTTGCAATGATACAGATGTTCATCCGCACACGAGAGGAGTTTTCATTCATGTTAGATGTCACTGGTTTCAAAGATGCCTGCAGTCGTAGCAAAAGGACAAAGCCACAGAACAGTGAGAAGAGCTTCATCAAAGTACTCGTAACAAGACTGTGCAAAATCTGCAATCGACAGGAAGTCGATTAACTTGTATGTGTACTGTAACCGCTGTTATTTATTGAAAGACAACTGCAAAAAATTTTCAAACTGGTTTGGAAGAAAAGTGTAAAGTTTTCAGCATTCATAAGATCCCGATATTTTCAATTGATCCCCATGTCATTTGAAGTGTCTGGAAATCTTCAGGACAGAAAAGAAGTCACCGGTTTTTATACGATACACTTAAGGAAAAATGCCCTAAGACATGAAGGCAGTTTTTGGCTTCATACTTTCCAAACACAATGTGCATATTTCATTGTTATTCCCCAAAGACAAAAAAAATAATAAATGGTTCACAGTGTTTGATTATTTACATGTTTATGTACATGTAAGCTGTTCAATTCCTTTTGCTTCTGTGTATGGGTACCCTTCATGCTGCTGCTGAAGTGAAACCTAGAGATAAATCTGTGCTTTATGTTACTTCAGAGCATTGGAATTCAACAGAACTGCAGTTACGTACATGTAGATGTCACAGGCTTGGGTACCCACAATAAAGGAAGTTGCCATACAACCAACCAAGGATAATAACAGGCAATGGTGTAAAGGCCTACCGTTGCATTGACATATACATGTAGACATATTGCCAGTTCTGATTAACACAGTTATGAAGCGAAGATTGTGTGTGGATGTTTGTGTTTTTGCATTCAATTGGGGACCCTAAATAATAGAGAGCAATAAGGTCCCCCATTCACATAGGGTCCCTGATTGACAACTGGGTACAAAACATATTGGTGGTCTTCTAAAAAAAGGTTGTAGTACAAACAAAAGAGGAACAATAGGGGGTCCCCACTTGCAGGCAAATACACACTTGTGTGTGTGTACCACCATCATAAATGGCGCCCTCATCAACACCTGTGTGCCTGGTCCCCCACTTTAAGATTCAGGTCCCCACACACTCCCCGTTTAATGAGAACCCAAATATACATGCACACATGTGCGATGTTTGTGTCCAAGTTCTGACTTCAGTTTTCCATGCATCAACACAAACTGGTGCATCTGTAATAAATGTTCTCCTTTTTTGCGATAATACAGATATTCATCTGCAGAGACACGAAGGCAGTCTTCATACGTGTTAGATGTCCCCGGTATCATTGAGGGAAATGCAGGTTGAACTAGGACTGATCCACAGAATGGTGAGAACTGCTACATCAAAGTACACATAACAAGATTATCTGAAAACCTGCAATTGACAGAAAGTGAGATTTACTTGTATGTGTACAGTAACCGCTACAACTTATTGAAAGACATTTGCAGAATATTTTCAAACTAGTTTCGGAAGAAAAGTGCAAACTTTTCAGCACTCATAAGATCCCAATGTTTTAATTGATGAGATCTCGGCGGCTAAGTATTCCAAAGTTCTTGCACTAACAAAGCTAATAGCCAGGACCTGATACGGTCCTTGCTATTAGCTTTGTTAGTGTCCAGGGTTTGAAGAGGCTTAAGAGCACCTCTGAGATTACAATCATGTAATCAATTGCTGAATAGTCTGGGGTATCAAATGAGGGAAGGTTAGTGGTATCTTCAAAAGTATAAAAACAGAGCAAAATTGCTCATTAAAGATGGTGGCCTTACTTTTACTATCAAAGATCCCCTTACACCCTTGTTTTAATAGGCAGACAGCAGTGAAATAATGCTTCTTGGATTTTATGAATCTCCAGAAGGCTTCGTTAGATTTGTCTTCTCGATTATTCAGCATCTTGGTTTGAAAGGACCAAAAGTTCTGGCAAATTTTCTTTTGTGTTGTTTTCCTGTATTCTTTTAATACATTCCAGTCACTGGATCTCTGAGTTGCCTTCGCGTTGTTGTACAGTCTACGTTTTGCCTAACATATTCTACGAATTCCTCAAATAATCCATGGGTCAGAGTGCTTGGCTCAGGACTTTTTTGATGGAACAGGTTTTACCAAACGCTCATGAAGTTTGTTAGTAAACATTTCCCAGTTTAAATTAACTGAATCTTGAGGTTACATTGCTTCTCAGAAAGACTGCTGGAAATCAGCCATTCTGTTCTTCATGCTGGACAAGTCCGCTTTGTCATACATGAACACCTTCCGTAGGATCTTCCGATTGAATTTTGGCTTAAAATTAAGGCGATTAAGTAAAGGTGATTGCCTCATGGATACTTATATCTAGAACCAAGTTACCAGTAGGGTTCCCATTCAGGTAGCTTGACTTGGACACCGGCAGTAGCTGGATCATTGGTGCTGTCAGCGTCTTGCCTGCCCGTGGTGGTATGGTCAACAGAGAGCCCGGCATGTTGTTGTTGTTTTGTTTTGTTTTGTTTTAAAGGCGCTTTCAGAACCTCGGGCTATTTACGCCAATAACTGTACGTTTATTCACACACTTTATTAATCAGCATCACATTACCGAGTTAGGAAGAAGGTCCAGTTTTAGAGGCAGGAGGAAACTGGAGTTCCAAGAGAAAACCTGCGAGAGCGAGTATGTACTGGAAACCAAATGTACTTAAATCTGGGGCCAAGCGGGGACTCGAACCCAGGCCTCATTAGTGCACGCGAGGAAAGAACCGCTACGCTAACCCGCTCCCCAACCCGGCATGGGAGTGTCTACCCCATAAGCCACTTGCGAGTTAACTTTGAATAAAATCTGGTACACTGTGTTATCTGATTGCATAGAAACGTAACAATTTGAATTCCCCAGACTAAAGACACTGTCGCTATACCTCGTACATATGCAGCAAGGTATGCTTTGTGTTGGTAATTGTCTCGCAGGAATCTGGGGAATTCCTTTCAGACTTCTTGGGAGGATTTGTTAAGTAACAATAGTCGGGAATGTGTATAGGGATTGGACATGTTGGGGGGTACCCCTCGGTCTCGTGATTGGGGACAAGGTTTTGCATAGCAACACCATCTCTGGAATGGACTGGTTCCTTTGTGCCGGTGTCATCCTTTGAGAACAGTATATTGTTGAAAGGCGTCTCTTATGTAACTAAGCAAAAGCTTGTCCCGAATCACGAGGTATAGCAACAGTGGTTTTAGTACGGAGAATTCAAGTTGTTACGTTCACGTTAATTTAAAGAACTCGGTGTACCAGACTTTATTCCAATTTAACTCGCAAATGGCTTATTTATAGTGTCCTAGCAAAATCCCTGTTCACTCATTGGTCAAAGGGTCTTACAAAAGAAACATTTTACAGGGCTTGGCCAAGAAAGATTAGCATGGCAGCCCAGAGGGATTGAGGTTCGGGTTCCAGAGGGTCCATATGATGCGAGATATGGGCGGAGAGAACCCCCCCCCCTTGTGTTGGTCATTCTTTGATCGGAATCTCAGGAATTCTTTACAGACTTCGGGGGGGGGGTGTTAGGTAACAATAGTCTAGAGTGTGTATAGGGATTGGACATATGGGGGATACTCATCAGCACCTTATCGTACAAGGTATCAGAGGGTTAAGCTAATAATCCCCACCAGCTGGCCCGACCTAGAAACTCTGGAATTCAAATCCTGACTGTAACATCATTAATACTACTGTTGGGGTGGTTTTTTATAATAAGCAGAAATGATAAAATAAGTAAAACCAAGGTGAGCGTCATGGGAAATGACAATGCCGCGGTTTTGATTCGGCCTATTAGATAGGGATGAAAAATAATGGAAGAATCTTACAATGGATAGGCCTAGATGAAGCGGGTAGAGACCAATAATAATGCCCAAAACGATATTAAACAAGAAGATGTAACATGTGTAGCCTAACAGGAGTTGGACAGGTCGGAGTGGCTGTGTAACAGTTGAACTCAAGGAGGTAAGGTCCAAAATATGCAGGAATCTTCGAACACCAGGGCCCGAATGCCATTACATGCATGAGGAAACAAGTGCATGCATGGTAAGTTCGCCAATGTAGGATTTCAACTGGGTAGCCAACACACAGGAAAACTGCTAAAAGTGTCATAAACGAAGTTTCCAAAGTTCGAAAAAAAACTGTCTAGCTGACAGAGAAGTCACCAGAAAAACACTGTAGTCAGGTCTAAGTTGACAAATAAATCTCGTGAAAAAGAAGAAAGAAAGAAAAGAAAGGAACTAGACAAACTCAGCCGCACCCCGCACTGCACATGCACAGAAGATTGACGGCACACGGGAGCCGTCTGATCTCTCACGCTACGGCTAGCCACACCAGGCTTTTATACAGAAGCCAAAAAATAGATACATACTAGTCACAAAATGCGTTGGCGAGGTATAGCGATCGTTTTCGTCAGCCCAATTAGTTGTATTGGGGTCTTGATGCATCGCGTAGGTATCGTTGGCATCTTAGATCATTGCGTTTCCGATGAAAGTTTTTTCAAAATGATAAAAAGGATCACTATCAAAATATTTCGCAAAGGGATAAAACTGCTAAACTGGAAAAAGATTTCGTTCGATTTCGTGTTGCGCTCGGGTCTGAGAGCTCTGGAGTGAGTTGCTTGGGGTGAGGTGTGGTGGGTTGTATTGGGTTACGGCTGGGTGCAGTTAGGCCCAGTGGGATGGGTGCAGTTGAGTGAGGCCAGTGCGATGCGGTGTTGTGCTGAGCACTTTGCAGTGTTTTATTTTGTATTTCATTCACTTTTATTTTTTTTTTTATTTTGGAGGTCTTTAAAGGACGGCAGTAAAACTGTTTCACAGTATATCGCAATGTGTAGACATTCTATCCATAATGCATGTCAAATTAGAGTCTTCCTGTAATGTTGACAGCACCGTAAGAGCTGCTGAGGACAGACTGGCAACCCGTCATGACACTAAGTTCATGTGTTTTATACATTTATCGTTTCTAGCATAAGCAGTGCCACCCAGGGCCAGAATTCTCGTGCTACTTTGACAACATAAGACTTGCACTATTGTAAGGCCGCAGGAAAAGATTGTTGATTTTGTGGGGTTTTTTCCCAGGAAGTCGACTTGGGCAGGAGATTTTTCCTCATGACACCATTAACGTGACATGCAACAATCGATCATGTTTAGTTTCTAGCGTAAAAAAATTGAGGTAGTTCGCTTTTTATCTTGGCTCTTCGTCAATGATCGATTTCACGTTCCGATAATTTTTCTACTTCTATGTGAATTTAATGGCGTAAGTACGCGTCGCCTACCGTGCTGCAAGGCTTTGTCTACACTTTGCCTCATTTCTATTTTAATATTTTTAGTTTTTTTTATTTTTAGTTCAATTTTAAACCAACTTTGGAAATTCTAGCTCAATGAAAAAGAAGTAATTTTTTGCTAAAAGAGTATAAAACTGTATGCTATTGATCAAAACATGGAAGTAGATGTATTTTTATTTAGTTTGCACAATATACAGGCCAACAAACGATATTAGTGACAGAGACGAACGTGCGGTGGAGGCAAGACTAGATGCAAAACCATTCATACGACAAGTCCGGTGTCACGTCAACGAGGCTCCCGCGAAAAATTTTGATTTTGATAGTCTCAATGCATACAAGAAGGGCCTATTTACTCTACTAGTTCTGCTCAAGCATACGCCTTAACATGAAGACAGGATACCAATCAACATGTAGGGTGTAAGTGAATGGAACAAGTCTCTGATTTTAATGTGACCCTAGCGGGCGCTGCAGGGTCGGTGCCGCTACTAGATCCGCAATTCCGCCTGAACTGAGACTTCCCAAGATATCAGATAGGTTCCGCTTTGGATTTTTCTTTCTGTTTATAAGTGGAACATGAACTTGTACCCGGAATTGAATTCCCATGATCTCTGAATCTTCACCATATGCACAGTTTTAAAAAAAATGGAATCAGGTACTGACCTTCTGCAATGTACACAGTACGGTATAGCAAGTCCTGAGACCAACCTCACTTTTAATGCGAATGTCCTGAAACCAAACACCGACTCAGTAACCCGTCTCTATGTGGCGCACCCACGAACTCACCCCCATGATACTTAAGCCTGGCCCCTCCCCTCTGGTTGCGCCACGGGACGGATATACGGCTTACTCAAATTACGTGAAGACTGCATCATAGTTTTTCCAGAAAGAAAAAAAAACCACTTATTTGGGGCTTCAAGCCCCAGCCCTCCTCCCATGCGCCACTGATCTCGCTCGTCTATATACTGTATCCATTGGCATGATAGATTGATCGGAAGGAGTCGTCTTTTTGTTTTGTCTTGTTCTGTTGTGTACAAACCTTGCATACCCAGTGTGGACTCGTGAACAAAAGAGGTCCATATATTATAATGCAGGTTGTGTGAACCTTGTGCGGACCAAACTCGGTCCACATCAGGTGACCCCCTTTCTTAAAACAGGTTTAGAGGAATTTGGGGGTCAGGGTTACTTGGAAGAGAAATTATCAAGCAAATCATCGAAACTCAAGCTTGAAAAAGTGTTCACAGTTCAAGAAAAATTCACGAGTATTTTAACGAAGTTTTCTTAAGACTAAAACAAAGAAATGTCTACACAAGGTAGGCAACACACAGTGCTAATTTGTGTGTGACCTTCTCGTCAGTCAATCGGTCAGTCAGTCATTCAGTTACTTAGTTAGGTTTTATTTATTTATGTTTTATTCCTTTTTTATGTTTGAAATCAATTGCATGTATTACAATATTAGCACAATGTCACTTGGACTATTTCTAATTCAAGGAACATATTAATAAACTAATCCAATGCAGTTTGGAGGAGTACAAATTTGCACCAAATAATATTAAATAGGTAATCAAGAAGTAGACGCTTTCACAAATAGTTGGTCTGCTAACTTTCAACGCTGAAAATAATTTGGACAAATCGTTTGGACACAAAACTTTAGTGTCCTTTTCAAGGAGACGGTAGTCTCAAACTGTCACACCAAACAACGAGTGCTGGTGTCTTTGTCCATGCGTTACCGTATATAAGACAAAGCAGAGTACATGTAGACCAGTTACCTCTGAAATACACGTGTCTGTTTACACAGCAGTCTCAGAGGTCCCCAGCTCGTCTGACTTTAGTGTAACAAACGTAACACAATCTGTGTCAGAAGTCTTGTAAATAAACACTCTCAGCATAATTCATGGCCAAGACAACACTCAGGGATTGATGCATATTGGCACGTGGACGTATGCTTGTAAAATGCGCATGAATCATTCCATGATCAGCAAACACATGTCGAAAACATGTTTGAGGCGTCAACCACGGCTGTGGAAACTTCACTGCGTCTCTGTTAGGCACTTAATCCGGTGCCTTACAATAAATCAGTGCTGCATGTAAATGCGATTATGTTCATGGTTTCTCTCTCCAACCATACTTCCTCTATGCTCAAACCCTCTGCACAATTAGAAATTGTTCATTTTATATGATAGATTTTAAAAGTTTTTGTTTTCCTGCTTTTCCGCCCATATAAAATTTCTCTTGCTATGGCATGCCATGTCTAGGCAATAAAACGATGTCAATCAAAACATAACGTTTTATGTAAAACAAATAAACTTTTTACGGGCAACAGGTAATTATGCCACTAACATTAACAGTGAACTTTTCCCTGTTCAAGACTACACGGGTAGGTCTAATTTTAATACAAAGAACAAGAGAATCCCTAACAATGACATAGGCCTTATTTAAAAACCATGTGTAGTTCCATCGCAGTTATCCGTCAGAACAGTAATTTACAACCAGAACTATACCCCGTCAGTAGAATTTTAAAGGACAAAAAAGTGATTCCTTTTCTACACATTTCCCTTTCTTGCTTTCTCTCCCCACCTCTCTCCCCTCCCCCTCTCTCAAATTAAAGACATTAATAAGCCACAGAGCAAACATATTTGAATTTTTGACAAGATCACGTCTGCGGACTGGATACACATGTGCATGTAAATGTTGATCGACCATTGCCACACTTACCTCGCCGCATCACCATCCTCTCGTGATGTTAAATCTTCACCCTCATCATCTGCGATGTCACTTTTATGGCGATGGCGTTTGTGGCTGTAGTAGTGGTGGTGATGATGATGAGGGCGAGCCTGTTGATGGAGAACCTCCATGTCCAGCTGCTGATTATTTGCAGTAATACCCGTTGATAAGATCATCATCGTCAACACCACCAGCAGACTAGCGAGTTTACGTTTCATGCTGAACATCAAAATAAGAACAGCTTGTCAATGTGTTGATTGGGGACTCGTTTCCGCAAATTAAAACATTCCACAAGTCAACTAGATGCTAAGTTCTCCATAAGGCGTTAAAACAAATACAATTCTTGGCAATGTAGAGGAAAAGGATATTTTCCGATAAAATGGGCGATCTCCTCATCATAAACACGATCAATTTAGTAAGGAGCAACCCCCGAAGACCCCTCTACTGAAAATCGTACGCAGATTTTATTTGGTAAAGCGGATCATTTCTGTTTTTTTATTTCGCATTTTTCTTTGCAAATTAAGGTATACGTCCAGATGGAAAAAAGGGAAACAAGTGGGACAACAGCACCGCGCCTTTCAAAGTCAAAAGCCCAGGTTTGCAGTTTAAGTATAAGACACAACAAATTGCATGGTAGCTCTAGTAGAAAAGCGTTATACTTAGAACCAACAAGCCGAGGATTCGAGTCTACATGTAGTAATATTTTTCTTTGTCGGGAATAAGTTCAATAGTTGGCTGGAGGATGTTTAATGATAGGAAAGTAAAGCCTAACATTCACTTTGGCGGTTAAGTTTCTAAGTGTCCACCTACCTGATATCGGGCTTGCAGTTAGCCACGCCCGTATATGGTAATTACCCTAACCTTCCTGGGAAAAAAATTACGCTGCCGCGCCTGTGCACAGTGTACTATATACGTGTGTGCACCGTGACCGCACTTCAAGTTGAGGTTTTATTCTGTGAATGCTTCATATGCCGAGAATAGAATATAATAGTTGGTTACATTTTAGATAGTTCTTCGCTTGCTGCAGCCAGACCTGCAGATCCTGCATCTGCCTAATCAATCACGAGCGCGGTCTGCTGTCGACATAGACCACTACCTTCATGATGATATCAGTTTGCGAAGCCAAGCTAAGAAACACGCTATTCACTAATGTATACCATTCATATTGTACTGCAACCGAATAAAATCAGTTAAGTTTTAACGACAGACAAAAAAATGCGCAACTGAGTTTTAAGTATTTCAAGATTGTTGATGTTTTCTGACATGAATAATACTGGCTGCCGCTTGTTTGCATTCATCAAAATTGCGCCAAATCGGCTTGGAGTGATCCGATGGCGGTCATGGTGCATACACGTACAGTACATGTACAGTACACTGCGCACAGGCGGTATGCTGGGTCACTGGGGTTCATTAAACAGAAGGCCTCATTAATAAGTCATATTTTTACTCGCCCTCCCACGGAAAAAATACACCACTGGCACGGTTTGCAATGCAAAATGTACAATGTGTACATGTACATGTATGTACTGCATGCACCAACAACACGTAGTCGTCGTTACACGTACGTTTTAACTTCTGAACGTGTCAAGTGGAAGTTGAAAGTAGTGCAAATGTAAAATTAATGAACTGAATTACGCTTACACAGTGCATCGTCTGATCGTTTGCAATAAGATTGTATATGTATATAAGTATTACAGGCCTCTAACGTTGCGCACGTCGACTTTCCTAATTACAGTGTCGATAAATTCCTTAGAAACAAACTTCATCAAGCCCTTTGTGAAATACTTGCACTACAATAACCTTCATAATATATGCTGTTTAACCTTCAGTGTCATGAAATTTCGTCTGAAATTGAAAAAAGGTGGCCTCCGGAAATTGGGCAAGAATTTAGCTGAGCACTCCCAAACGGGAGTTGATTAACTCTGCTAATCGGGCCAAAAACTACGGGCCGGTTTCCCGACCGACCCTATTTTTTCGGCGCAATCTTACAGTTTTTATAGACAAGATAGAAAAACAAATTTAAAAAAACTAACAAAAAGTAATACATGTAAATCCTGTTGTCTTTTCTGTCTTCAAAAATCACCCATGAACAACCTTTTTCACATTTAAACGCTTGACGTGTTTATAAATTTTCCAGCATTAATTTACAACTTTTGAGAAGAAAATTCAGTTATTTTCACGAGTTCCCTTCACGTTCTGCTGTCGCAGAGGTGAAAACACGTACGCAAAGCTCAATTTAATGCTGCGCTGGTTCCCACCGCGCCGCGCTTTATACTCAAAAGAACGCGAGATGGAAATTTTGCAACCAGTCTACACTTCCCGGTAGAAATAGCCTAGTTATTTAAACTGCATCAGCCGTACACGTACATGTAGGTAACCTTTCAGCTACCCGTCGAAAAAACATCGATGTTGCAAGAAGATTTCTGCACGTTAATCCACACAGCTTGGTCTCGTGTCTATGTACGTAGTTTCTGTTTAATTTGAGACTGAGTTTAATTTGAGACAGTTTCCTCGTAGGGCCTACTTGAAGCGAGCGTGTTTCCACAAAATTTCCTGCCACGGCACGAGGTTCATCGCCCGCCTGTCCAATCTGGATCATGAATCGGGCATCTTTACCAAGCAATATACGGATATCGTTGGTCAGTTTGAGGTCGTGATTGCCTAACTAACGTTGTGCACGGTGATGTGAATTGTCCATCATTCTTATGAATTGTCGACTGTTGACATTTTAACATAGATTAAAGCAAGTTTTAATCACATTTTGGAGGCGTTCATCCCCATTCATGCCATTCAATCAGCACAAATAAATCGACCAAAAAGAAACCTTTTCCGACCTACCCGGACCATATTTTCGAGATGCACGTAATCGTAACCATGGCTATGTTATTTTTTCTTTGCCGTATTATTAGCTCATTTCACCTAACCACGAGTTTGTTAGAAGATCTTTTTCGTATTTTGGGGCCCATTTTTAAAACGTTCATTTTGGACTTTCGAAAAAATTGCCGAAATCAAGCCAAAATTACACTTTCATCGGAACTTTATAGCGGGTCACATTGTTGTAAATACAAGATTTGTGAATCAGAATGTTGGGAGTGTCCGATTTTATTTATAAGGAAATTCAAAGTTAAAAAATATATTATATATAGTGCGCCACACTATAGGATACGTCAGCATATCCTTTCGCCTGTAAGCCATCGCCAGCCACACAAAAAAACCAACAGAAGTGTTCACACTTTTGCAAGCAAAATAAAGGACAGATTCTTTCAACAGTATAATATATTTCATCAGAAAAAAAAGAGCAGGATACCCAGGTGTGTTTGGATTTTGGTGTTCATCACGTGCTGCCGTTTTTAGGCGGATTTCGTGCGCAGGTGTTTTACTGTATGTATTTTAAACTTACTTTACCCACTTGAAAAATTCCGGCCCTATACTAAGAACTCATTGCTGTCCTTGATTAATTTAAGACGTAATTTTTTTGTTCTGAAAATGATTTGAAAGACCATTGTTGAAGACTTAGTTTGTTTTGTTTTCCTTTAGGTGGATATCTATTCATCTCATGACATTATATTATGAAAAAAACTGCTGCACAAAATTAGGCAGTTGCAATGCAAACCAAATACTGCATAGTAGTTTTTGCTATGCAGATATTTTAAGTAAATCGAGCACCACCAAGGAGAAAACTTTGGGTTTTTTTGTTTTTCACCATGTCCCTAATACAGCTTTGTAGCGTTGACCTGTATTTTGTGGGTAAAAATTCGCGGAAACGCGGGGAAACCTATTTGTATGAACGTATGTACCGTCCTGGCTTAATGTCGTATCCTTCATGCAGAAAGAGAATGCAGATAACATTATTTGTATAGTTACGGAAATTTAAACAAGTAGCTGTCTACTTCCGTTGCACCATGGAGAAGGACACAGAGTTTGAACTCCTTCTGTGCGTTTCATCCATGGTTTCTTCAATCTATTGCACTGAAAACAAAACCAGTCTATAACAAATGAATATCAGACTTTCTCTCGATTTAAAAACACCTTCAGGGATATAATATCTACAAAAAAGAAAAACATATATGTCAAGTAAACATTTGATGTGATTGTGATAAAGACAATAAAGGTACAGAAAAAAAAAGAAAAAACAAAGACGCACAAGCGTGGCTCAAACCCAGCACGAAGCACTCGATGAACAGCATACGTACCGCTTAGGCCTAGGCTATCGCAATGCCAGATGTTTGAATGAAAATTGGAATCTTACATGGATTTGCTATGATAACTGTGCAATTCTGCGTTATGGTAACCACGATTATAGCCACTTCGAATTTGTAAACACTGGTCACGAACCCGATCATAATGCAATACGACGAAATGCAATGCAAAGCAATGCCATACAATGTATTGCAATTGCAAATGATTAAATGGATGATAAAAGAGAGCTAATAAAGCTCTAACCAAGTAGGATATATATCTGAAAGTAGTGAAATATCACCGTCTTATTTGTATTTCTGAACAAAAATTTATATCGAAGAGGGAGTTTCAAATTTGAGCCGAGTATTAATTTCAATTTCAAGGTATTTCAACACAGACACTGTGAATGTGCTTGAAGAGAGGCCTTATAGCTCTATGTCATACCGGAAGTGGTCCTGTAAAAGTTCTTTAATTTCTTCTAATGCTGCCCGTTCCTGTATGGTTATTAAAACTTCACTTAATTTGTGTTTCCTTTACAGATTTAATTCTAAATCAAATCAGTCATACGTATCATAAACACCTATTTCGAGCACTACTGACGCCTCCTACTATATCATAGTAATCAGGTTAATCTTTACACGACCACAATAAGCGCCTTGTAATAATCTAAATGAACCATATTACCACTTCAGTACCAATCAGCCATTTTAGAATTGGCAACATACATGTATAGTACCTCAACCCTATCCCGTCTTATACTAAAGGTCATTCGACGTTAAAAGAACAGATGTTAGATTTTGTTCGGTTTTTCATTGATTATTTAAAGAGCCTTTGTATTATCATTTAAATGCAATCTCATGAACATGCACCTCCACGTGACATTTATTTAAATTCTTGTTTCGCCGTTGAAAGGAAGTTGAAGCCGTAATGTGTTTTTACACTAACGCAAATTTCAACACATGTATTATTAAGCTGCAATGTCATTCTGGAGAACTTCTTCGATGCTTTGGCCATTTCTTCACGTATAGTGGTGCTAAATTTTAACCTACAGTGCTTTGCTGTTGTAAATTTTTTTACTCGGGCTCAGGATGTAAGTATATACCCTGACCAGTAAGCCCATAGAAGGACACAGAAGGAGTTTTAACTACCTGCGCTATAACATCTCGCCAATTGCCGCTTTCTGGCATGCCTGGCATGTCCATAGCCAAGCGCAGCGAGCGCTAGCTACGCACCATCGTTCCACAACCACGAAACCCCTTTATACCCCATGATCCCCGCTGCAATTTGTCGCTGGTAATCTGCATCCCTAAAACTTTGTGTACTGAGGTATAGGAAATTGAATATTCGCCCATTTGTTTGTGCTTGGTATGATCTCATAACAACATCAAATTTAATGCCTGTGTAGTTGCTTGCTTTACGCCGTGTGCCCTAAATGTATGTGCAGTCGTTGCCCTTAATGAGAGCTTTCTTGTGGAGGTATTTTGGGAATAAATAGCCAGGTTATCTACATGATTTTGTGTTTTGGTTAAAGCATTTTCATTATGGCATTTATATAAAAGCGTATTTTACGAGATATCATGACCAATCCCTTATTCCTTATGAACTTAGCTTTCCAGCAGTAGTCAACATTTTGTTGACCAGTCTTACTCAAATTCGTACCAAGTCTTTGAAAATTGCTGTATTGGAGGGAGGAAAATAAAATTACAAACTTCGCATGGCTAATGGAACAGTGTATCAAAATTTCAAAAGTTTGTTCACGATGACAAAAGTAGGTCTAATATCAGGGATTTTTTTCTCTCTATTTCCTGATCCAACAATAATTTGTTTTTGTAGCAAACACTACAAGCACTGTTAAGATATTACTGGCCCCGCTTGTCCGGCTAAGATGCAGAGAGTAATCGGGCATATTTGGAATGTATTCTATTATCTGACACGGCGACGACGATCGCTGAACCCTTTGAAGTGCTAGAGTTGCAACTCCTTCGGTGTCCTTCCCCTATGGTAAGCCGAAGAGAACCTCTTTCTCAAACGTCTTTTAAATTGCAAGATGTTCAGTTCATAAACAAAAAGGAACAATGCACATGTAATAGGTAGAAAGGCTTGCGGTAGCACCCTGCGAAGGAATATACCTCTTATGAGTATGTGTGGTTCTGAAAAGAACCGGGAGTATACGCAAGCCTTTCCACCTATTGCTGTCTTTCACCATGAATAGCCTGAAATTCCATCTACATGCAATAGGTTTTTAAGACTTGGATACGTAAAACACAGCTTCATTTACACGTTACGATGATTGTCCACTTCCTTTGTAGCAGTAAACAGAAAATTAATATTTTGGATTTTACTCTAAATATTTCCGTATTCATGAGCCAGTGTGATGCTGTTTAAGGCAGAACAGGTGTGTGTCTTCATAGCTTGTGTACAATGCTACATATCACACTTTTATATATTTTCTAGAGGTACAATGTAGGTTCCACTTTTGTACTTGGTTTTCATGTTAAAATTAAGCAGCTTGTTTGAACAATAGAAGCGGCCAATATTTCTTCAAAACTGTTGGTGGGTACAATTTTGAAGGATTGATTTTTGTACTGCCCTCTTGCTGTTTTGACAAGAAATGTCATAATTGTGTTACAATATCAAACATTACGCAGATAAAAGTAATTCTCAACAAATTAAAAAGCTAGCACCTTATTTTCACTTCCAGTGAAAATTGGTAGTTGGATCTTGTTTGTTTCCTTGTAACAATGGTAACGTACATGGAAAAGTTTAACTGAAAATTCGCGGCACATTTCCTTAACAAGTATTCCGCAAACTGAACACTATCTTCTATATTAAAAAAGCAAACTTTTGCTCAGTACATCGTTTTCAGGAGTTATTTTTTCGAGTTCGATTATTTCTTGTCGAAGCAGCAATTGCAGCAGGTTTTTACAAGCAAATCTCTGGATGAAAATAAATAGCCGAATGATTGTATAACGATTACATTTATCGACTAGTCCACAGTTTTCCACAAGTTGCAGTGGATTATTTATGGTTAATGATTTTGAATGCTCGTCATCTCTACAACTCCGTGATCGAGTCTAAGTGGATGATTGATGTGCAATGTACACTGTACCATGGTCACCTTGTGACGGACAAGAACCTTGTGCCCATTGAGACGCCAAGAATACCATTCTAAGACTAACCGACCAACATACACAAAAGATGTCTCCTCCTAACACTGCTTGGTTACGCACAATGACTCCTTTGTAGGTTTGAGGTGCTCTGTTTGGTATGCAGATACTTGAGATACTTGAAAGCAGCCATGAATAGCACAAGATTTTCGCGTTGAGACCAATGCATTTAGTACACAGATTAACCTCCAAGTGTGATTGAACTGAATATCCGCTTTACAGTCACTTCGCCTCATTTCCACGTCGCCTCCTACCACTTCGCCCCTAACCATTTCTCCCCATCTCCATTCGCCCCCATCTCCACTTCGCCCCATTTCCACTTCGCCTCGTCTGGGCTCGAGTGTGTTTCAAGCCTCTTCAGAGGTGAGTTCCACAAACGGAATGGAGCTATACATGTTCACTCAACTTAAGAATGCAAAACTACGCAGCTATTAGACGATGGATGAAAACTAAATACTTATGACTGGCAAATTGGGAGATTTGTAAATAATCACAAAAAGCAGGAACCGTACACAGAACTTATTATAATAATCCTTACTGTGACCACCATCCCCCTATCAATCATCGGCATAATTGTGAGACGTGGGAGCCACACTCCCGCGCTGTTACACACCGTCATGGGCTGTACCTTCTATGTCACAAGATTTTCACGTCTAACATCTTTATACACATGGTCGTCTAGAATTTAAATTCAGCAACTTTTTCTAATACTACGACTTCAACCTCAACGATCACACTACGTCACTCACCTTTATAACTTAACCTGTCTATGCCCGCACCTCGTTACTTGCACATGTTCAAGCTCCAAACACGCACGGTCCACGCCAGCTGTGCCTAGCCTAACACCTACATGTACAGTACATTAGACAATAATACGTCTATCAGCGCATCGGCACGGAGTCGACATCTACACTCCTAACAGTCTGGCTATTTGAACTCCGAGTGATTTCTTGTGCTGTTGATGTGAATTAAACTGAGGTTTGGTTTGTGTCGGTTGTTCGTAAAGTATCAGCCTGCAGACATTCACCAAACCGTGAACAAACTGAGAAGCAAGACTACAGAAGTGGGTGGTTGTACATGTACAATCAGTACATGTACATGTACATTTGTACATGGGCTACACTACACATCTTGAGTACCAAGTGACCTCGTGTCTGTTTACCCTTATCAATACAAACAAAAGGCTGCGGTCAGCGTCGTGGGGGTAGCAATATCATTCACACGCCCATGAAAGCTCCCCGCAAGAACTTATTATGTAGGTACCGTGATTTCTGTGAACATGGAAAGGAAAAGGGAAGAGAACCAAAAAGGAACCACAATTTCACGAAAATGGTGGTCACTGATGCTTGACCCTGGAATGTAACCAAACGTATCATTGAAATACCTTAAGATGCAATACAATTGCTGGTAAACAGAGTCTGGCCAGATAAACCCTTTAAAGTAGGATTACTTGTTTTAAAGACTATGTTTAATGACGTATACGTATTTTGTTTCATTCATTTAGCATTGTTTCTGCATTAATTCTTGATATTTTTGTCCACGAATTTCGAAATTTTGCAAATTTTTATTCTGTTTACATTGGTTGATTTCTGTCGGTCTTAATAGGGCCTACATGTAGACTAATGATGAATGCAAGTGTTGCAGTTTTACTTAGAAAAACGTTAGACACATTATACACATTTCCCCACAACGAATCTGAATGGCCAACTTGAATGTAGTGGAATACTGGCCAGGAAATGAGACAGTTCGTATCCCAACAACGCATGCCCGAAATGCGACCGAGGTCATTCGGACGCAGGTGCGAGGTTTTCAAGTGCCCTGACAGCGCAATAAATGTCAGAAGAATAGGAATAACAAAATGAAAAAGTAGCCTAGTGCTCACCATGTTCAACATCTTCTGCAAAACTGCGAGACACAAAGAAGAAAGATTACCAGAAAGAGGACGAACAGACGGCGTTATTGGTTGGAACAGTCTACTTTCTGTTTCCCCTGCGCCCGGGGGGAGCTTTTTGGAAGACAAAATGAGGGAATTTCAGGCCCTTTTCCAGTTATTATAGCACATAATTGTCAATAAGCCCCTCCAAAGAGTACAGTCCTCTGATGTTTTTGCTCTTTACTCTTTTGACAACTTCCAATGACAAGAAATGCTCATTTTCTCCGACCGTAAATAAAAAAAGCCCTAAAAAAAACAAACAAACAGGGCGCCCCCTTTTTGTCTATTTCCATGGGCGCCGCCATCTTGTTTTTACAGGTTGCACCCATTGACTTCCATTATATAGACTGGATAGGACATTGCGCATTGTTTGTGCACAAAATGCGCGGCCGAACAATGGCGGCGCTTCAGGAGGGTAATGTGATGCTGTATGCTGTGCATTTCTTGATAACATAACCTTTTTTCTCATGGGATGATGGCTAAGCCCTCGGCCTCCCTCCCGAAAACATGCCAAAAATAAACAGAAAATGCAAGAATATCATTTTCGGAAAAAGCTGACCATTTTCTTATTAACTAACCCACTCGAAAGCGACAATGTTAACCTGTTTTGTGTGTATTATCTATGGTCTCGATTTAGCAATATTTTCACTTTGGGTCGGTTCAATCATGGTTTGTTCATAGGTTTTGTAAGTCCCCTAAATATGATGTCCAAACTGTCCATGTGTTTTTCCGTCTGGTTTCGATGAGCCAACACTGAAAATATCCTAAATAAAATGATTTTAATTTTACACACTCTCAGGAAAAATTGTATTTAATAAAATTCATTCATATATGGAGTAAATTTTATTGAAAACCGACTGCGGCATACGGAAGTGTGAGAATCTTTTCTGTGAGCACAAAGTGAGTGACCGAACTAACTTACTGCCGTTTTTAAAACAGACACTTATTAATCATTATAAAGAGTTTTCTTCACAATTTGACTTAAAAGATTTACATTTAACAAGTACTTTCGGGCATAAAAAAGTCACTTTTAACTGAAAAACAAATAATTTTGTTGTGTAGACAAAATTTCTTTCATTGAGTTGACTTTGAATTCCCTCGTTTGTAAGTTTATTCAACGGAAACGTCAGCACCCTGCTTCTCACTTTGGTTTCATCTCTGCCCCGAAGAAGAATTCTGTCACACATATCACATCGCCTGTCACATGATTTGGGTTCAGTACGTCTTTAGATCCGACAAACACAAATCATGGCTGTCTTCGAGATTTTTCCAGTGAAATCTGAGGAAAATAAATGACAAATTAGTCATTTAGTTTTTGAGACCTCTTTTGCCAATAAGTAACATTTCACACGGTCCCAACTTCGAGATCGTGAAATTTCATATACAAAGCCTGATAGGCTGGATAGACTGTCATAAATTTCTTACTAGGCCTATGTAGGCTTAAAGTTAAGAATTATAAAGTACAACTTGAGAAACTTTCTGAAACTAAAAAAAAGTGCGACTCACATTTCCTTTTGTTCCCTCTTCCAAACTTGACGTTGATCTCTGCTGCATACACCTCAACTATTATTCTTTCCAAATTTATCCATTCAAGTGCACGGATCAGTTTTTCTTCGAAATCTGACGATTGAAGCACAAAAACCTCAACCGGTTTTTTTAAAACTCCATTTGAAAGTACACGCAACGAGTTCGCAACGCTCGTTGTTTACAGTCCTGAAAATACGCACACGCGGGACGCGTTTTGGAAGCAATGTCCTATCCCGTCTATATAACGGAGATCAATTGTTACACTACACCAAATACACACCCATAGAAAGCAGTGCAAAATCAGACCTAAATAGCGCTGCCTGATGACTCTTGGAAAGAGGTTGGCCTCCGTTTTTTCGCTGGAAATTCAAGATCATGGCCAGGGGATCACTTTTCGTTTCAATTTCATGGGGTTAGCCGCAAAAAATTTGTGTTATTCACCTTTCCCCAAAGATACACTCAAAAAAGCAGTAAAACTATGCGCGCAGCTCTGAATGTTGCCGCAATCTTCTATTCAAAATAGGCCCGCATTTTGGGGCTTTTTGTGAAAGAAATACCCCGATGTGCTGACCGCAGAGTGCACTCTCGAGTTGTGACTGTTAAATCGCTACAGCGCCCTCCAGAAGTGCTGGGGTTTTTAGCGCGAAGATCCCACTAATGAAACATGTCAGAATTTATCTCAATAATCTTCTGGGTTTTTTTTATGCTTGACAGTATTCGTTCCGAATCTTGGTTCTTCTGATATAAATCACCTGTGAGTTTTGTTCTTGATCCAAGTCTTATTGTTATTGTAAGAGACCCTAATCTCAATATCTTTGTCGTTTTTTGTATGTTCTAAGTCATGTCTTAGGGCCGGGGCTGCCATCTTCTTGTTGCTGGGTAGCGTATCTTCGCAAAGACTTATACATGTATACACCATGTGCGATGCTTGTTTTCATATTTAGTTTGCTCGTCTATATACCCATCGTCGATGTTACTTAGTTGTCTGCGCTAAGGAGAGGTGACATAGAATATACTCCGCAGCTCTTAAGTATTTGTAACTGTTTTTTTGTTTTGTTTTGTTTTGTTTTTTGTTTTTTTTAGTTTGTTTAATCCTGTTGTTTGCTTAAGGGGTCTGTTGATCGTTTGCCTCCCAGGTTGCACCACATTTTGATCTTCACTAAATAAGGCTATTGTTGGCGGCTTAGCTCTGCATTCTCAGAGACTACAGTTCTGTAAGTTTTTTCCGTCCAACGATGTTACACATGTATTTCAGTTGATTTAGCCCGCATACTGTGAGCCACTTTTCGAGACCTTGTTTGCTTATTCTGTATAGATAATGTTTAAGTTGAAATATTTTGTATTCTCCTACACTACATGTACACTGGTTGTGTGTATACACGTTCATGGTCCTATTTTTTTCAATTAATTCATTCCTGGTCCATTTCTGTCACGGTTTTAAACACTGGTAGTCGAATTGTTCTTTTGCTGGATCCCTTCGTATGTTAAATTACATAAGCCAATTTGTTTCCTGCATTGCTTATCAGTGTCACATTTGACCTTTGTGCCACACTGGTTCGGCGGATGTTGATTATATGCACATGGTTTTTTATCCTGTTAATTTACAGTTTACCATCTGCGGGATTATCATCAAATATAAAATTTCAAGATCCGAAAGTGGTGTCTCGTGTGCTGGTTGTCTAACTGGATAGGAAGTTCCCTTTACTCGCCGAGGCCAGATTACCAGAACTGGAAACTATCAGTCCCAAATTGGGATTGATAGAAATGTTTCTATGATCCCTCCTAATTATGGCATACCTTATTGTAAAAGCCCTCTAGGATTATAAAATATTGATGAGCTCGCGCGCAGAAATCCAACGATTTAGTGGTATGCACCCCTTAAGTGCTGTATGTTCATGGCGCTCATTACCAAAGTGCGCGCGCAAGATTTGCACTTAACAACGCAAAGCAACAGGCTACGTCTGATTTTGCGCGCTCTGATTGCAAAATGAGGCGTCGTTTTTGTTAATGGATTTTCAGGAAAAGAAGCATAAATAATGAAATTTTTCATGACAAATCCAAATCAAATTAATCGTTTTATTTTTCAGTTGCATTGATTTTGTGCCCAGCCTCAAAAAGAGTAATGAAAAATGTGGTTTGAATAACCCAAAAATTATTTTGTTTTTCTCTCGAAAAAATGAGTGTTGCCAATCTTAATCACTATCTATTAAAAATGAGTTTTTCTGGTTTTATGATTAGATTCATATGCACTAGAAGACTGTCTTATTCGATTGCACTCAAAAACTGGGATTCCGCCTGATGAAGATTTTTCTAAAAGAAGTGTGAATTTGAACCAAATTTTCGCCCCAAATCATGTGAATCCAGCCATTTTGTAATGAAAAAAGACATCACTTATCTCAGTAAAAAAAATATGTCCTGATAAAACTCAATCCTTAGAGTTAGGAATTATTGCTTTGTCAAACTCTGACAAAAAAGAGGATACCCTTGCATCATACTCTTGTAATGGCAGACTTTCGGGTAACATTCTTGTGGCGGCGAGCGCAGTAGTGTATGCGTGTTTACATGTGACTTCGACGTCTCGATACCGCACTGGTCAGTGTCCACAACAGCGGAAGTAATGAACAGGAAATTTCACTAATTTAACGATTCTACCTTTTGAACCAAATCGATGCAACCTAACAGAAAATCATCATCCTTGTGTTGGATATACCATTTCAGTCATAAACAATGAATACAAAATGGCTTTGAATTTTCGTGCACTGTTGGATCGATAACGATTTTGGGTTGACTCAAAATTACCTGATTATTAAAAATCTTATCTGGCGGATTTAGAATAAATAGTGAATCTTTAATTTTGTGTTAGATTTTTATCTCAGAAAACTTATTTTCTATTAAAAATTAATTGATGAAGTTAGTGCAAAATTTTGCAATTTCGTTTTTTTTTGTTGTTAGAACGGGTCCGTAAATTCACTTGTTTATACTGTTTTGAGATTTACCGTTACTTAAACACCTTTCTAATGGAGGAAAATTGTGTGTTGTTCGTGGTGTCGTGTTTGGACGACATTTATTTTTGCTTCTACACTTTGGTATTTTACGAGGTTACTCGTTGAAAACTCTCGCGCTCCTACGTCGTCTGCTTGCACGAAAAATCATTGTTGTCGGCTAGAAAATGAAGTGCGCATGCGCGCTTGTAATGAGCATTGTTTCTATATAATGAACATACGTGTTCTGGGAGCCTGAGCCTTACATGGTTGTTGAACGACCATGCAAGAGCCAACCTGTCTACATTGTATAGAACTCGGTGGGTCGGCGGAAAGTGAGTGACCTGAAACACTGCCCGTGGGATATTCCTCAACCAAATATGGGTACCATGCCTGAAGAGGCAACACATGTCAGCGAGGCCACGTCAATGGACATCTCTACCCCAGACAGCGCTGACAGTGACTGGGGTAAGTTGCTTACTCTTAACCCCATGAGAACCGAAACCTTGACCAAGATGACCCGACTAAAACAGCCCTTGATGAGAATGTCAACTTACCTGTGGTAGCCCTTAGCCTTCAGAACAAAACTGACAACATGACTTACACAGACTATAGGCACACCGTCCTTTCTTCAGGACCTGGAGCGCCGGACTGTGAAGCAGTGCAGCACCCTACTATATCAATGATCCTGGCCAGTTTACTCCAGGGGAGCAGGAAGAAGTGGCCCCCACTTGTCATGTTGCCCCTGCTTCTACCTCTGATGTTGCTGGTGATGACCTATCTAAGCCTGGCAACACGGAGAGGTCATCAGCTACTGATGTTGAGCCCTTTGACCCGTGCCATATGGTTGAGACTCATCCTAAGGTCGCCAGGCCTTCGACCCTTGTTAGACGATCCAAGCACACAATCAAGGGAAAAGGAAATCCACCAGACAGGTGCCAATTCTCTCGTGTTATTAGACTATACTGATCCGAGTCAAAAAGGGTTGCCCCAGAAAAAGAATATGAGAGTGCAGAAGACTCTGACAACTAATCCTCATGAGAGGATTTGCTCAATGCTGAAGTCTTAGTGGAAGAGATGAGCACCGTTTATTTTTGACAAGTAGTGTGGATTTAGTGGTTGTCAAGTTGTGTATTTGACCTGTTGAAAAAATGACCTTTACACTGTTATTGTAGTGTATAGGTGACATACATGTATTCTGAAGTCAGTAAATAGAGTATTTCAACGAAACTTGGTGTATAGGATAAGAAGTTTCTTTCAATTTCCCGTAAGTGACGATGTTCGACGGAGACCCTCTTGCGTTCACATTGCGGAAACAGTATATTCGGTCGGTCACCTTTAATCTCTTTACTTTCATCCCAGTTTCAGTCATGGGGGCTCCCAACGGTTGTTTAATTGATATTTTTGTGTGTACAAATTGAAGCGCAAGTGGGCATAAGGTGCATTTTTTTTGGTCATAGAATTCATTCTCTAGGTCATTGTGCATTTTGTTGATTTGTTCACAGAACACGTACACATAGGAACACAATTATCAGAATTTCAAATGAATTAGATTTAACCTCCGGAGCAATTATTGTCACATCTCAGCCCATTTTATTTTTTCAAAATGACAACTATTATTTTTCTTTCATGTAGAGTTTTATTGAGNTTCCCTTGCTACATTAGGTGAATGATTCACGCTCTCTCATTGAATTAATTCTTTACCATAACAATATAATTGGAAGTTCTGGGTAATTGTTATAAAATTAGGTGTTCATAAAGGGATTTACGGTGAAATTTGGAATGCACTATCACACCTTGACAACTCGTCCTCATTAATGAACTGCTCTTACAACTTAATGTATTTTTATTCATGTAAAACAGGGTCTCCGACGGTAATGATTTTGCATTTTATTGAATTCATTTTTTCCTTTTCTTTCATTTTGTAATTGTGTAATCGATTCCCCATTGTGCTGTCTCCCTTGCCGCCGGCCTCCACACCGCTTGCTCTATACAGAAATAAAGGAATGACTCGAATCCAGGTGTCTGTGTTTTTTTTCGCGATAACGCCTTCACCCTCCACCAGCCTCTCCACACTACCAAAGGAGCCTCCGCTGCTAGGAAATCGTGGTCTCTCTTAGTCCAGCTCAGCACCCATATAGTATAAGATAA